TGACAGTTTTACCCCTCGATTTTTGAAGTCTAACGAGAGAGCTTCAAAAAGAGGTTTTACCTCATCAAAACTCTCTGACATAGCGAACGACCACCTTATTACTTGTCCTTTCTCATTTATTATGCAAAAGAGTGATGTGTACTGCGTAATCCAGGCGCTGTCTTCTTTTCTTTCGAAGCCGATATTTGCAGCTGCCTTGAAGGTGTGGTCACAGCTAATCCATTTAGCATTTAACGAATTCATTGCCTCTGTAAAAAGGTGTTTTTTCTCATTAAAAGATGCAACGTAAACGCTTCTTATCAAGTTGTCACCTGGGCAGGGAAAAAGGTTCCCAGGAACGTCAAAATTTAACTCCTCAGCTGACTGTGTGAACCCCAATTCTTTCGCTTGGTGTGCGTCATTTAGAAATCGGAGCAACCTGTTTCTTAATGTTCTTTTGTACCTTTCTTTTATGAGCTCTTCAACAGCCGATATTGCCAATCCTCTATCTAATAAATCTTCAATTTCATCTGCCAACCGCATAGTCATACCAGATCGGTGTGTGAGAACAAATGGCACGCACGTATAATCCTCTGAGGTGTCGTGGAAATAGCTTGCGGGTGTATCATGACCATGCTCACATTTATATACTTTGCTAACAAGCAACACTGGACTTTCAACGTCGAACAACATTCGGGGATTTGATCTGTCTTTTCTTGCATTATTCCATTCATTGACGCTTCCCCTTGATAGCAAAGAACATCTTCCATCTTCAGCGCACAAATGACAATACAATTTTCTTTTTTTGGCGCGAAAAGCCGGACGTTGTCCAAGAGGATCAAAAAGGATATAGGGAAGTAGAAAGTAAGGATCTGCGTCTTGTCTCCAATCGGGTCCTGTAATCGGCGGTGGTGATGGTGTGACGACAGAAGGAAAGGCCACCATTTCTTCATTCATTGATATATCGTTTTCATATTCCACTGTTGCTTTCATCAATATCTCTCTTTGCTTTTCTGTCACCTCAAATCCAGTCACAAACGTCACAAATAGCACAAGAATGTAAGTAGAAATTATTAACATTGAGATGTGCATGTTTGATTTGTGTTCCGTCTTTCTTACTTGATCGTCCTGGCCTATCCACGGTGTGATGCTATGGGGAAAATCTTACGTGAATGAATTTATGACAGTTGATTGATTTGTAGCCTGGGTATGTCCGCCTCCTCCCGTCCAACCAAAATCTCGCGCGGGCTTATTGAGTGTCACTGCGTTTCATCAGGTCAGCATTCGCATACTCGTTCAATTCAAATGCCAAATTTATCATCCCTTAAATATGTAGCTTACATGATGACATTTCATATAAAGAAACTCCATGGAAATCGAGTTGCTATTGACGGAAGATTGATTTGTGATTTCCTATCTTAAATTTGAAGGCGATGCGTTTATGTTCAGGCTTCCTGATATGCTAAATGAATTCAGAGTACTTTTTTTCGTTTCTATAGGTGGAGTAGAAGTATAGTTTTTTTGTTTGCACTTATCAGATTGACTTGGTGGTTTTTAAAATGTACTGACAAACTGTAGGAAAGCAGAAGGGTTTTTTTTAAAGTAACTGATTTATTTTCAATATTAAATTGTTTACATAAAAGATTTATTTTGTATATCAAACATGATTTTTTTACTAAAGGGTAGACAGGCTATACCGGGCACACAGGGTATACAGTGTATACATGGATATACAGGGAGTACATAAGTATACATGGGTATACAAGGAATGCAGGGTATACAAGGTATACAGGGTATACAGGGTATACATGAGTATACAGGGTATACAGGGTATACAGGGTATACATGGAGCACATGGGTATACAGGGTATACAGGGTATACATGGGTATACAGGGTATACATGGGTATACAGACAATACAGGGTATACATAGGTATACAGGGTATACATGGGTATACAGGGTATACAGGGTATACATAAGTATACGGGGTATACAGGGTATACAGGGTATACAGGGTATACATGGGTATACAGGGTATACATAGGTATACAGGGTATACATGGGTATACAGGGTATACAGGGTATACAGGGTATACATAGGTATACAGGGTATACATAGGTATACAGGGTATACAGGGTATACATAGGTATACAGGGTATAAAGGGTATACATAGGTATACAGGGTATACATGGGTATACAGGGTATACATGGGTATACAGGGTATACAAGGTATACAGGGTATACATAGGTATACAGGGTATACAGGGTATACATAGGTATACAGGGTATACATGGGTATACAGGGTATACATGGGTATACAGGGTATACAGGGTATACATAGGTATACAGGGTATACAGGGTATACATGGGTATACAGGGTATACAGGGTATACAGGGTATACAAGGGTATGTATGGGTATACAGGGTATACATGGGTATACAGGGTATACAGGGTATACAGGGTATACATAGGTATACAGGGTATACAGGGTATACATAGGTATACAGGGTATACATGGGTATACAGGGTATACAGGGTATACATAGGTATACAGGGTATACATGGGTATACATGGTATACAGGGTATACAGGGTATACATAGGTATACAGGGTATACAGGGTATACATAGGTATACAGGGTATACAGGGTATACATAGGTATACAGGGTATACATAGGTATACAGGGTATACAGGGTATACATAGGTATTCAGGGTATACATGGGTATACAGGGTATACAGGGTATACATAGGTATACAGGGTATACAGGGTATACATAAGTATACAGGGTATACATGGGTATACAGGGTATACAGGGTATACAGAATATACAGGGTATACAGGGTATACATAGGTATACAGGGTATACAAGGTATACAAGGTATACATGGGTATACAGGGTATACAGGGTATACAGGGTATACAAGGTATACAAGGTATACATGGGTATACAGGGTATACATGGGTATACAGGGTATACGGGGTATACAGGGTATACAGGGTATACATTGGTATACAGGGTATACAGGGTATACATAGGTATACAGGGTATACAGGGTATACAGGGTATACAGGGTATACTGGGAGTACATGGGTATACATGGGTATACAGGGTATACAAGGTATACATGGGTATACAGGATATACAGGGTATACAGGGTATACATGGGTATACAGGGTATACAGGGTATACATGGGTATACAGGGTATACAGGGTATACATGGGTATACAGGGTATACAGGGTATACATACGTATACAGGGTATACATGGGTATACAGGGTATACAGAGTATACAGGGTATACAGGGTATACATAGGTATACAGGGTATACAAGGTATACAAGGTATACATGGGTATACAGGGTATACAGGGTATACAAGGTATACAAGGTATACATGGGTATACAGGGTATACATGGGTATACAGGGTATACGGGGTATACAGGGTATACAGGGTATACATGGGTATATAGGGTATACAGGGTATACATAGGTATACAGGGTATACAGGGTATACAGGGTATACAGGGTATACTGGGAGTACATGGGTATACATGGGTATACAGGGTATACAAGGTATACAAGGTATACATGGGTATACAGGGTATACAGGGTATACATGGGTATACAGGGTATACAGGGTATACATGGGTATACAGGGTATACAGGGTATACATAGGTATACAGGGTATACAGGGTATACAGGGTATACATGGGTATACAGGAGAATGGACATCCTATTACTGTTATATGAAACACTAGGTCTATTTGGCGTAAGCGTAACATGAAAGAATAACCCCATCTTGTATGCTTGGTAACCACGCTATAGCGTTCTCAGCAACTTCTGTCGAGCTGATGGTGTCGGGGGCGGGGGGTGGGAGGGGAGGGGACGACATGAGGGTGACGGTTGGTGTGGTTAGCCTTGGTCCGAAGGACTTTCAAAAGTCTGATCTATAAATCAGGGGCCATAATCGATCCTGTCTGAATCGAAATAATCTAGTTCCCAGAGGCAGGGTAGCCTGTTCACAGACCCTCTATAGTCCTCCGTCCGTCGAGCGCGCGTGATAGATAAAATAAAAACCGCGGGGATTTATTGATCGCTAGCGCAAGAGGTGAGGCTAATAAAACAACGATCGAAAAGGAAAATAAGAAAATGTCTGTGTACAGGTTAGAGAGACAGGGAGACAACACTGCTTAATTTTTTTGCCCAGTATTCTCCCTAATCTCTTGTCGTTCGCGAGCCCTATGCTCCCTCATCCTAGGAAACGGTATGTGTAGTCGGAGCCTTCACGGTCTTTACGCTCTTTAAATTTCCACACAAAAAACTTTATTTATATCTTTTCTGAAACCAAAAGGAACAAGGCGAATCGAAGCGAAGTAAAACTTAACAAAGTCAACAGAAATGAAGCGGTACTGAAAAACAGCAATTAAACAAATACAAGGTCAAGATAAAATTACCTACACTGAACGAAAGCAATATGAAGCCGGCCCCCGAATACAATCCCGCTAGTTTATACTGAAGCCCTCCTAAAACCTCATACGAAGTTGCATGTATAAGCTAATAACAAATCATGAAATAATACTTGTTTGTATCAGTTATAAATTAGTTCAATGGCCGGATTCCTTTAAGCTGAGGTCTTCGTGCCCTGAAAGAATGAGAAAAAAATGCGTTTTCAAGTTGTTTTTTTAAGAAGAGAAAAAAACAAGAATATCCGGAGGAAAACTTGTTAATGTATAAGAGATCATTTAAGACAAGAACTATCATTTTCCCAATTTCGGCTCATGTCGTTTCTATTCCATTTGCCAAGGAAGTGCTCATGACACTGCATGTATACCAGCTAACCGAATATTCTTGATTGTTTTATAGCTGGAATTTTTTTCTCAACGGCGCGCGCTCTCATTGGTTAAATTTTTCCCTAGCATCTAAAATGCTTAAAATAGCTTCAGAAAGGTTTTTTCATGCTTTGTTGTTGTTTTTTGGCCTTTTCCTCAAAATTTACCGTTCGTTCAGTGCCCCTGCTACTAACCTGATTTATCCGATAAACGAAGTTTGCCAGGCCTCTTCCGACCCCAAAACCGTTTTGTTTGTCAAACTCCCAGCAATAGGTACTTTTCCCATATTTGTTGTACGTGTTTTCGGCGTTCTTTCCACCGTAACACTCGCCGTAGTACTGAACAGCGAAATATTCATAGCCTTTGTCCTGGGCCACTCGAGCACACTGGTTAACAGTCAAGTTCATGTTCTTCCACATGATCTGATCTCGGAAGTTTGTGTAATGATCGGGAAGAGCTCGATCGAAATAATCCCAAAAACAACCAACTGGCTCAGGATTTGGCATAGGTTCTGTGAAAAAAAAAATGTTACCACTGAGATTCGTTCGTTTGTTTCCATATGTGAATTAGGAGGAGACGGAGCGAAATCAAACCCACGGTGTTTATTTTGGAAAGCAGAGTTTTTAATTCGCTTTTCACTTCGACGATCTAATGAAAACCACTAAGATTGACGTAGTTAGAAGTTGACGAGGATGAGTAGACCAGTCAGGTCCAATCCCAATTCTTGATCCTAGTCATACGTTGATTGGTTTAGAGTGCGGTTCTGTCTTTCTTATTTGATTGCACTATTGTTTGTGTCACATTATGCTTTAGCTTGGAGCTGCAACACTCATTACACATACGCACACAGGAGCGTAGCGTTCATAAACGCACATACGTCCGTGCGTACATGCACAGCTGAAATCTGGAAAAAATTTTTGCATTATATCTTGAAAGCATTTTCATCATTAAATCGGGATGACGGTTAAATTTTTCGCATTATATCAGCGTCTTTGCTTGTAACCAGTACTTTATGGCGTCACTGTTTTACCCTTTCCCCGTGAACACCATACCTTTAATTCTTGGTTTGCAACCACGTGACAAGGCGGCCATGTTGGGGGTCAAAACAAAAGAACATTTCCTCGAATAATTTACGTGAAAATAGAGTTTAGTTCCCAGAGGAGAGAAATACTTTTGTTCTTGACCACCAACATGGCCACTTTGACGTCACGTGCAAACCAGCAATACCGATAACACTACAGGTGGGTAAGCTTATGCACTTTCCCTCGTCTATATTTATTGAAAATGTCTGGTGGAAAGTGCAGGAAATGACATTCCGGAGACCGTAAATTCAGAAATTTCTGGTGGAGCATAACCCTAGAGCCCCCTAGTTTGGAGCGCGTTCGGCGCTCTTACTTTTCTTCCCGTGCGTACACATTCAAAATCTCACGCTACGCCCCTGGCACATGACTGAAAAAACTAAAATCATTTTCTGTGATGTAAAGCGATGTAACTAGAGCAAATACAAATGCAGTTACATTGTACTGATAAAATAGAAAATTATGAGCCGGCTGAGCTTAACACTTTGCTCGAGCATTTCTACGCCGAAGACAAACAATAAGGAAGGTGAAGATTATGAACCAGAAAGCCTTAAAGTAATGATGGCATCGCTTGATAGACACTTAAGGAACATAGGCTGCACCCTGTCCATTGTACGTGACGGAGAATTTAGTTCGTCCAAAGAGGTGTTGGAGGACAAAGCGAAACAGCTTCCCTTGGCTGGCCATGGTAAGCGCCCAAACAAAGTTCGGCAAGTATCAGAGGGGGAAGAAGAAATTCTCTGGAGGAGCGGAAAACTCGAGGTAATAACCCAGAATCTTTCATTCAAACACATTGAACAATTCCATGAACTGTTAAGCCCGTTTCTGCAGCTTGCAAACTTTAAAAACATCGAGTAAAATGTTGTTTTGACTGCACGTGTGATGATATTTGCAGCATTTGAATAATTTATTTTTTCACGTAGTTTACGCGTGTTGACTCCTTATCAAAGCGATTTTAAAGTTATCTCGCAATTTTTTCATGGGTATTATTAATAAGTAATCACATTATTTTTCTCGTGCAATTTGGAATAAATAAACACTCGTAAATTTTTTCAAAGACCACAAATTGTACTCGCCCTGTGGGCTCGTGCAATTTTGTTAGTCTTTGAAAAAATTTACTCGTGCTTATTTATTCCTAATTGCACTCGAAATCATGTGATTACCTGTACTAATTCTTCACGTTTTAGTGGCAAAAAATAATTAAAACCAAAGAATGCACTGCTTACCTAAAGAATAAACGAACATGCTGTTCCAAGAAATTCCGATACCATCTCTACATTTCGCTCTATAGGTACCATAGGTATAGTATTTCTGTTTCATGTCAGCTCCAGATAGACACAGTCCATTCTTGCCCAGCGCGAAGAGTGTGTAACCATTAGCGTAAGCCAGCTTAGCGCACTTTTTGGCGACCTCATTTGTGTTGTTCCAGTTGATTTTGTTAGTAAAGTCGCCGAGTATCTCCTTGAAATGATCAGAACCAACAAAACATGCCACTTGGATTTCGGGGGGAGCTTGATTAAGAGAAAACAATGCGCACATAAAATCAGATGTTAAAGGAGCCGTGTCACGAAATTTGTCAAACTTCAAACAGTGAAAACTGTCACAAAATTGAGTGAACCATAAAAATAACCCCTCAAAACGTTAAAAGGAAGTTTAAGTAACACAGCAAATACGTACAAAAGGAAACACGGATGGACAAATTTGAAGAAGACTGAAGCGGATTGCAAGTTGAGATTTTTGAAGACTTGTTAGGCTAACACTTTTTCAAAGCTCATTTTTGTTGTTTGTTACTTTTGATATAATGTTTGGTAGATATATTCCTTTCACAAACACTGTGATTTTGTGATTCACAAGTAATTTCTCAAGTTTCATAGCTAATAAGGACGCATAACTGGTATTATTAACAAAATATATTGCAAAGCAGCCAGTGACAGCATCTTCAAGCACAAGTAGTGTAGTGAGCGATGTTTTTGACTGTATTTTTGGAGATGAAATTTTATTGAGTTGTCAGAGAATACTTTTTGAATTAATAGTCCAGTCTATAACGTCAATAATATCATGACAAAAAAGTGCACTTTGAATCAATGAACCGAAAATGGTAACAATAAACTACTTCGTGAAATCCGCGAAACAACTGATCGCAGCCATTAGTTTAATTTCATTAAGTTAAGCCCATGAGATCAAGCCAGGATCTAGTCTTTGATAGTCAATACATATCCTAAAACCTGTTGAACCGAACTGTTGGACAAGAGTTATACTTTCCATGGCCTAGCTACATCAACATGAACAAAAGAAATTACGATCGTTAACTCTTGAAGAGAGAATCTTTCCTTGCGTCCCTTATGAGTTTTCTCCAAAGAGAAGGCAAGGCAAAAAGGAAAGTCTGAACGAAAAACTAGGGTAAAAAGAAATCTTTATTGGCTTTTACAAGAACCTTTTGCTTTTTTCTGATTTATGTGTTTACTGAGTTGCAAAATTCTGCATCGTTATTCTTGTCTAGAAATTTTAAAAGAACGCAACATACTGCTCAATGATAGAACAGTTTCCCTCAGGTCGCCCGATAGTCATCTCACCCGAAGTTACGTCGCCCGAAATGTTGAGTTATCTCGCGCAAAATGTGATCATGCTCAGTCGCGCCTCTGATGACACATTTATCCCACTTGTTAGGTCTCATGATAGCTTAAGGAACATGATATACTACAAGAAACTTTATTTTCTGCGCATTTATTCCATTACACCTGATAATATTTCGGGTGACTTGACTATACGTATTGGGCGACATAACTCTGGTTTCTAGCGCCATGACTTTATAGGTGACTTGACCGGTTATCCATAGAACGATATAATTGCACATACGATCACAGGGTATGTCGTCGTTACAGCCCATCACAGTTCCAGGCTTCATTGCATATCGGCAAACTTCTTTTGCGACAACCACATAGTTTCCAAGTTCGTTCTTTTGGATGCACTGTAGCTTCCTCGTCATCACTCCACCACTGCACGTCGAAGAACACTACCATAAACAAGCAACATTACGCATCATTCAATATTCCATTAAGGCTATCTCTCCTAAGTGATCAAACAAGGTGGTTTTCTGATCAACAAAAACATACCTTTTACGCCACATGGCAGCGTGCCTGAACATAAAACTGGGTGAAATACCGGCAACTCTTAAAGTCGGGCAACATTACGTCAGGCTTGATGGCTTTCGGTCGTCTTGACCAGGTACCATAAAGAACTAAGTGTACTTGTATGAATTTAAATTGAAAAAGGGTGTATCAATGTACTTAATGTTCAAATAAAATCCACACGTTACCTCATTCCACGGCAAAGGCCTCCATTCAGCTGGACACCATATTTCATTGCATCGTTGCCGAAGGGTCTCGTTGGGTTTAGCACTCATTTGGCATAACGAATCATCAACTTTCTCGAAACGTAATTCATTGATTTGTCTTCGACAGTAAAGAAGTCTGAAATGGCTACCATTTCCACACGTTCTGCTGCATTCGCTCCAGTCTGTAAGATGCCATCTGTTGAACGAATAACATATTTAAACGGCAGGCAAAAGCACCAGTTCGGTGATATTCTGTGTTGTGATACTTGGTCCTCGTAAAGTATACCAGTGAATTCCAAAAACGTCCATACGCCCCCGAGCAAAGAACGGGACGTTTGACTTTTTTGAAAAATTTTGGTCAAATTCCCCGGTATGTTGGCAATTTAGATGGTCAAATGCCCCACCGGCTAGCGCTTCAAAGAGCGTCAAATCCCCCACCCACCAGTGACTATTCAAAAATGTTCCCATGCCTCAAACCGTTTAATCGAATGTAAATATCCTATTAAACACAACCGAAATATGAAAAGTCTGTCTTACGGAGGTTTGTTCACTTCAAAAGAATTGTTCATTCCAGAAAGTCCACATTTAACGGGCTTTTCAAAGGCTCACAAATGCTCCAACAAAACAGTAAATAGGAGCAATGACCCGTTAACGCGCCGTGCACATGTTGAATGGGGAAAGAATTACGAAATCCTTTTGCTTGCGACACTGACAAGCGTTTTGACACGAAAGTTAAATACACGACTGGGCGGGCGTCATTTTGGGTCAAACTCCGCACTGTACGGAGCAAAACGCCAGTCAAATGCCCCGAATATGGGGATGGACGGTTTTGGAATTGACTGGTATATTAACGACATTGAATGTAACCACACTTCCCTTTTCAATACCACAACTTAATCGTTGTCAAATTGGGCATCTCTACCAAGCAAGATTCTTTCTTTTTACACGGATAAGACCGGAAATGTTTCCCTAACAGCGCAGGATAGATGTATACCATCACACATGAATAAAAAGCTATTCATGTGACTCTAGAGAATCCAGATTCATCTTTACAGCTAAACTCATTAAAAGTTCTCTTTGTTCTTCATTTTTCATACAATTGACACTGTTTGAACAGAAAAAATATTTGAAGAAGCTCATTCAAGTTAAACCTGTGCTATTTTATTATGCATTTCTCATGAGTGGCAGTATCTATTCTTTATATGTACAGACAAGACAACTGGACACCCAGTGCAACACCTGCGCCCAATGACTAAACTGTATCATTTGTCCATCCTTAATTTTTTGCCTTCAACGTTTGTGGGCAATAATTTTTATCGCTAGTTCTGTACCAATTGAAATATTGGATGCAATAACTTTCATCAATTATATTTCATCTATGTTCGGGATACTCAACGGCGTATTTTAACTCTCTTAACTGGATTCATTTTAAATTTAACTGCTGGCCAAGGTTAAATCGTCCCTCGTACGTTTTGTAGCCGCATTCTAAATGCTGTGGGTTATTTTACGCCAGCGAGCAGCCACGTCGAGGAAAACATGCTTTGCACAATTAATATTGCAGACGCCAGGTGGCACAGGTCATAAGAAGTTGAAAACCAATGACATAAAAATAAATTCTCACTCAGGAGAACAGCTCTGGTTGTTGTTACACGGTTTCTGTGTTTCAGGTTTAACCAGTTTTGGACAGGAATCAACCGAGGCGGGAGTTCCATCATCACTTCGAACACAGCTCAGGACTCGCGTTGAAACGCCTAGAACATGACGCAAATAAATCTGTTAACATTTGAAGGTTTAAAATTGAAGGCAAGGCTGATCGGACTGCTAAGGATTGGTAATTTATTTGCCCTTCATTTTTAAGTGTTATTCTATATTGCCGATCGTGATCTACACCAGGATCCGGCTTTCCCTCGCTGCTGTTTGTCAAACTGGTCCTTGCAAGAATTGTTCGCTAATGTAAAGATTTTCATGGGGTGGATATGTTAAGTAAAAGCTGATTTTTAATTATCCATTAAAATTCTTTAAGAAAGCTAGTTATGGTCTTTGATAGAATATGCACGAATTACGTAGTAAGATCCAACTGAGCTGAGCTGCGGGGGGTGGATAATACGTGGATATGAACTGCATGACCCATATCATGTCAGTGCATCCTGGTGTCCTGTGTTTTCATCACGTGATGCTAACGTGGGACCACGCACTGACCACTCCTCGTTTTTCTGCCGCTATTTCGGTCCTCACCGAGAAGACTGAGACTGTTTAGGGGAAGATCTCAGGGTCATTTCCCCGAACAACGGCTGGTAATAGAGGCCTACGATCAGCTAACATCCTTGGAAAGACATGCACCGTTGGATACAACTCTCGGGATACCAAAAAATATGTAACGGCTTTCCAGCCCTTTGATTGGCTGTAATTATCATGACAAAGGATAAAATATAACAAAGATTTGACGGCGCAACTATGGAGATTCAGACCTCATTTGGGCGCTTTTCAACGGACAGCAGCACACCGCCCATCTCTAAAGGAATATGCGTATAACAGAAACGTTACCTTGTCCACATGTCATTGAGCATGGAGACCACTCCCCTGGCCTCCACTCTGAGGGAACAGTTTGTGGAGTTTCGTTTGACATTAAAGGCCGATAATACTGAAAGTCTACTCCTCCGTTTCTCTCGTAGAGGAAAACAAACTGAAAGCGAGGTAAAAAGATAAACATGCATGCATGAACTGTGCGGTTACAGTGAATGTTGTTACTAGCTGTCTGTCCTTTTCGCAGAGTTAGGTAAGCTGGGCGTGACTTGTAAATAGTTGGATGGAGGGAGGGGGATGCGCGACCTTCCATTCATTGCCTCTATATTTATTTACGCATGTGCAAATCAATTTACGTGCCTACGTACATAAAAATTACGCGACAATGGAAATCCACCCTCACTCTCCCAAATGAAGCAGCAAGTATACACGCACATACCCCTTTCACATAATGCTCCCCACCCGGTGAAAAGATGTAAGTCACACTTAAGTTGTTATTGGATTAGTTTTACTTTATGGACGTTCCCGTTTTTTCTTTAAAGTAGTCTTTAACAATTTCTGAGTCTTCACATCTTATCCTGCCATTCAGTCAAGACACAAATTATCGTGCTATTGATAATCAACCCTTTGCATAGATACAGCATGTGACTCTCCGTGACGCTCGCGGATATGCTTGCAGGTCTATTTGGTGTGCGAACTAACACACAGTGTCCCACTATCTACTTTCAAGGCTTACTTCAAAAATAACTTACCACCACTCGGAGGGGAAGTGTTGTTGGCCCGTCTATTTTTATTTTATCATCGTACTTGTTATCCTCATGTATGTATGCAATTCGCGTTCCATTGTAATGTACTACTTTACTCCAGGTTGGATGAGTTATAATGTATTCGCCAGTGGAATTGTCTTGGATACCTTGTGGATGAGATAAAAAACAAAAACAAAAATAACAAAAAACACAACAACAACAACAAAACAAATGTAGCACCAGCCTCGTCCAGAGGGCTTTTCCCTTAGACAATGGCCAGGAGAGGCGGATAAAGGGAAAGGCCCTGGGGTCCGTTTCTCGAAAGTCCCGGTAACTTTACATGCCCGAAATCAAATATTCAAATCGAAATATAAAGAATAAGAGCGTGGGTCCTGGATAGCAAAACTACTCCATTTTGTTTCATTAACTGACAGTTTTATCGTGTTAGATGCAAAACTGTTGAAACCTCGGTCTTTAATGTAAACGGAGACAGCTTACCGGCCCGTTAATTATCGGGACTTTCGAGAAACGGGCCCCTGGAAATGAGGTTGATGTAGCACTACCTCACGATTTCAATGTGTTAGTATGAATTTCACTTATGTAACACCACTAATCCTTAAGTGAGTGATTCATCCAAGAATTGAACCTGGTTTTATAGGTCAGATGCCTTAACTAGCTGGTTTAACAAGTTCGACCACTGAACCAGCCCACAGTGCGTGGCAGTGACAAGCCAAGATCATTTCCATTGCGAGCCCAACAACAGCTCAACAAACATATCTTAATTTTGTTTATCCCTAAGACGATCCGGACATCCCCTCAGAAAAGATTCCCTGTGTTTCTTTTCTTGTCAGAGACCGCTAAGTCTTCTTATGATGGGTAGCGTGCGTAGTAGGCGCTGTTTTTTTTAGGGCGATGGAAGAAAATCTCGAGGACGCGCGTGCGGAGAAAAGAAGAGGTGTGTTCGGCTCGCGCGGCCTGTAGGAAAAAAATAGTCATAATAAATAACCAGAACCTGCTACGCAGGATACATTTTGGATTGTCGCGTTAGGGAGGTTCGACTATATCAGCAAGAAACAACCTCATAGTTACCAGATGACTGTACCAGGCAAGAACTCGCTTCTAAGGTGCTCAAAGACGCTCATTTGTCCATGCGATTTTTTGGAGTTTCAGCCGTTATCTTGATTTCACTTCTATTGTAGGTGAAAACTGAGAGCTGGACTTTGATAGAAAGTTAGATACTTCGTACTCTTCCTACCGAGTTTTCTCTCAACAGCTCAATAATAACACGGAAAACATAGCGGACTGTGATGACCCATCACAGTGAAGATACTACTGCCGATAACACTCTATAAAGTTTTTGACGTCGTCTTCATAATATGTTTCCCCAATTTTTTTCAAACTTTAATGAGTTTCAGTAAAATCCTGGATGTTTTGTTTTGCCGAGTCGTTGATTTGAAAGATATCAATCTATACTTCTCTGAATCGGCCTCCCAACACAGTAAGTACACCCCGGAGCTTGCTCGGTTCTGTGATATCATGATGAAGCCCGTCAACGTTGTCAAAAATCTATCAAAAACTTCGTCAAAGGACAAAGGTAGTGGAAAAATGCACTGTAATAAGTTTTAAGTGACACTAGCTATTTACAAGTATACGATTAACTGGGTGAACATACCCAACACATTGTAGGATTTCTGCTTCTGTTTAAACCTGACGTTTGCTGCTCCAACAGGAAGTACCACAATTGTCCCTGGCTTATCAAATCCTATAAATAATCAAATTAGGTAAATTAACCCTGAATTGTTCGGCTTCTTTTTTGAAAGCTAAAACTGTGATAATATATCTTTTACATGGAAACTGAGCTTTTGTATTTATCCTCATTATGGTGTTTAGTGATCTAGAAGAGCTCAGAAGATGTGTTAGGCTTATGTATACGTCCGGCTGAATAGGGTCATTTGGCACAACTTTCCTCAGCAACCGGCGTCCGTTCTTATATGTGCATACCCAAAACACTAATTTTTTACTTGCTGTTTTTTTTTCCACGCTTGAACATAAATCTTCTACCTATTTTCACCCCCGCTTTGCATTCTAAACTCGATCACAAACACGGATTATTAGCGACAAGTTGCTAAGGTTATTCGCTAAAGCATACCATGAACGAGAGGAAGTTAAATCACTTCACGTTTTCGTAGAAATCCGCTGATACTTAACAGTAACCGGTGACGGATTTATTGAAATGTTACATGTGATATTTCTCAGGCTCCCTCCACACGTATCCGGATATGTTTGAATCCACAGCTTTTTCTCTCTGGATTCAAACATTTCCACGTCCACAAGTATCCGTATTCGAATCGAATTTGCCCGTCCACACGTATCCAACACGTATCTGGATTCACTCTCGTACCCAGGACTTCTCTGGGAATATTGGCCTCAGAGCATGCGTCGAGGTTGCCATTTTGAATAGATTATTAACGGTAAAGAACTGGGCTCGATCTTGCTTTGTCACCGGATAAAAAATATCCGGATTTAGCGCCTAGACAATTCCGGATTCATAGCGTATTCAAAAAATCCACTTTCAAAAAGTTGCCGATTCGTATGCCAGATTCACCGGATACTTGTGGACTTGAGCCGTATCAGCAAAAAAGTTGCAGAGTTGCGGGTTAAAAAATATCCGGATACGCGTGGACGGGACCTCAGTAGTGTCCACCCACCATGTTACTAGATAATGGCTTACCATATCTCCAGTATTCTCTAGTGTAAGAGGACTTTTCAAGTATACACGATTCTCCTTTTCCATCGCAAATTCCACAGCGATCTTTTCTTTTTCCAGATTCCAAAACATGATCGCAGCCCACGACCTTGAAATGAATATTATAGGGGGTTTAACGGAGTACGAAGGCGGCGGTGTCAGCAAGGACCCTGCCCCCTATTAAATAGAGTGCCCCCTAATAACTATACCAAGAGAGTCTATAACTTTAAGGAAAATTGACTAAGCTGGTGATCTTAAAAAAGTGAGCCCCGAAACACCCTAAATGGGGTCAAAGAAGATCAAACCACAGAAAGAAAGCTTCAGTGTCTTACCCGACATTTCCCTTCAATGCAGATGTCGAAATTATCAGCACGATTATAGCAGCGATCGCCGTCGGTTGTTTGCCAACCATAATAGTTGACTTCCCATCCATTGCTGCAGGCGAGGTAACAAGCATCTGTAAGGAACAATTTTTTTCGCACAATGATGAGAATAGACCTTTTTAGCATGTATGTTTTGTTGTCCCATTTTAGACCACGTGACGGTGCCCCAGAGAACTCTTTTTTTCAAAATGTCGTCCTGCACGTGCATGTACCTGCATAATTTATGAAAAGACAAAGGGTAAAATCTTTTGAGAACAGCACGTGGTTTGAATTGGAAAACAAAATATAAAAGCTAAAAAGGTCTCTTAAAGAAGCTGACCTTGACTATTTGTTAAAAAAAGTTGTGAATCCCTTGTTTAAGTGCGCTTATGATCGGGAAAAGTTGAATCAGAACGCTATTTCACTAGATAAATTTAAAACGACTTCCGATAGTGATACATAAAACAGAGACTTACTTTCATAGTAGAGTGCTCGTGGATAATTAGGGTCTATTTTCTTGCACTGTACATCTCGGAAGGACGGCAGTGGACATTCATTCTAAAATCACAGTCATTCCAAATTATTTGTTACCAACACAAATAATGATGACATGAATAAACAAAACGTTTCGGAGTATCCATTGTTTAGAAAAATTCATGCAGTAGAAGTCTACGATGTGAACAGTACGAGTGGCTAGACAGTGGGTTTAAAATCAAGTATTTCTAAAACGATCTCTGTTCAGACTGGCAAGAAGTGTGACTGCCTTAAAAAGATCAAATGAAGTGACCGAGGCAAGACTTAAACAGCAGGGAAGGATCGACACACTACCAAATCCTAAGGTATGAAGTTCCTTATACATGGAGTCAACCGCCTCATACTGGCCACATCACTCTAGCAGTGGAAACCAAAAAGCAATAACAATAATATTATTATCATTGTCACCAGAGCTCATCAATACGGCATAGCGCTTAGTCTGGCACCTGGAGAGTTGAACTTAAAATCGTATTTAGGAGCCAGTTAGCGATAGTGTAAAGCACTTCTTCTTTAATCATAAGCGCCAGCTCACAAAGAACACATGTGCTAACTGTTGGCTGGTAACTGTAAAACATTTCTTGACATGCGTATAGATCAGGGATCTGCCAGGGTGATATAGCTCTGCGTATTAGTATGTTGCTGGCAATTCCGCTGAGTTTAGTAGGGTGTGCTTCCTTCATTTCAAAGTTTTCTTCTTTCTTCATAATTGTAGCCGGTTATGAACATTAATAGTATCATATGGCAAAAGCTTTTAGTGGTGATAAGAAATCTGTTTGAATTGTGCTCAAAGGGAATTTATTTTATTCTTTGAAAAAGTATTATCATTATCTCACAGTATTTTTTTCGATATAAAGTTTAACAGGTTAATCTGTAATTAAGTTTGAACTGTTTTTTTGCTCAAATGTGACGGGATGGGAGTATGCAGTAAAAATGCGAGGATGAGCCCCTGGAAGAACTTGAGCGAGTAAACCCAACTCTCTTCATCGAAGCTCTATATATTCTTCCGCTTCTCACCTGTGAATTGCATATTTTCCATTTCGCCTTAGATTCTCCGGAACATTCCTTTCCGCCATTTGTGGGTCTGAAAAATGAAAAAGTAAGTGTAATATATTTTTAAATTTTATTTTTTTAAAAAAATTACTGAAATTTAATTATAACCATGTTTAGCTGACCATATTTATTGGTTTCTTTTAGTTTATTTATTCAGTTTATTTCTTTGCTGCACCTTTTTTTTGTATTTGTATTCATACACGGGCTATTATTCGGTTTATGGAACATTTATTTAGTTAACTCATGTAAACTGGAGTTCATGGAAAGGAAGTTGTGAAGTGTCGGCTTATTTTATTCTAGACGAGGGTTTGTAGTTAAAAACAACAACTTATTAAAACAGCCAAAACGACAACAGCTGCCGTTCTTTGCGTCCAATCAGTATTGAACTACAATAGACCCTGAAAGGCCTGGGGCCGAATGCACAAACCTACCTAACGTTTAAACCTAACGTAAACCTTACGTCAGACTTAACCCTTAAGGTGTGGAGTTACAAGAAAAGGCTTGAACGGACAAGACGCCCGCAAACGTTAGCAGCGCCGCTACTTATGAGACTGGAGCCTAAAGGGCCTCTTATTTATGAATTGTTGGATCGTAATCAAGATCGTAATTGACTTACGGTGGGTTGGTACAAGTCCTCTCACGGTATTGCACACCTCCCCCACAAGTTCGGCTACAAGGACTGTAATCGGACCACTCACTCCACCCTCCGTTAATTCTGGGTAATCCGTTGTCAACACACTTGCCTTTAATGCACCACTGTTTGGTTAAGATTGATTAAAAATCCAGATTTACACATCACAGATAAGGCTGGTTACATAGGGTTAAGAAAGGATTTTTAAACTAAAGTTGATTCTTTCATATAGCCGTAGGAATGATTATTCCAGTTACTTCATGTGAAACGCATATCATGGTCGACTACTCTTAAGGCAAAAATGTGGTGCAACTCCTTGTCCCGGTTCTTATTGTAAGACTGAAAACTTTTTGTCTTCATACATGTTCTTATCTGAACTTCTGAAAAAGAAAAAAGATCGCGTGAAAGCAACTTACTTGAAGTTGGTTTAAACTTTAAAACATGATGGAAGAATTACAGTATGGATATGTTTAAAACTAGACAGGGCTTAAGACAGCGTCCAGCTTATGCTGATATAGCCTCGATCCCACGTAGACTTTCACCGGGCCCCGTCCCGCGTTAGCAACACAACGGGAAGGCGTACGGAAAGGACTAAACTCGACTTCCGGTGCCCAATTTGCCGCTCTGCCATTGGTCAAGCAAGTTGTTTGATTTGCACGCGCCGTCGTCAACTGACGTTCCCGTTCTGTTGCTAAATCAGCCTATTCGCCGCCTTGGAGAAGGAGAAGATTGCTTGAAGAGCCAAAAAAAAAACAAACAAACAAAAACGTCTGCATAGGAGGCTAATTGTAGTATCCACAAAAATTACGTTTTATAACTACCAGACTTTAAAGGTGACATACATTACGTGGTCCGCAGCTTGTTCCATCAGCAGGTGGGGCATTTATAGTCTTACAAACGCTGGAAGCTCTCGCACAGTACAAATAGGCACATGTCTGGTACTGTTCAACACAGAAACGTTGCCATTAATATCAAAATAATACAGCTCAGTATTTCAATTAACTCTATTGGAAAACCTAGGCGATGAGACGGTGAAGCAAAATGAGAAATTTCATTGAAAAATTCCCAACTCACTGACAGCCAAGAAGCACGATTCTTCTGTCAGAAAAAGACAAAAAAAAAACCGTTTGTGAGTTTTTAAAATCATTTTATCGCAATGACCTTGCGATCTTGAGGCCTGAAAATCCGACAACGTTGATCGAAATATCTGAATACTTCTGTCTTCAACACAATCGAGCACGGTTCTTATTTTACAAGGGTCTAAGGTGCTGATATTCGGAACATATTATACAATTTACGGCTGGAGTTTAAAGCTATTTACACGGAAGTGGAAAGAGATGAAAAAGACCGATTTCAAAACCAACTCAGATGAACTTTTACAAACGTGGCTGAAGTTGCTTTACAGAATTTGTTGTCATGATGGCTTACTCTATAAACTGTGGTCAATAGCTGTAGTTTAAAGGAAGCTCCGTGCGGTCTTTTCTCGTACAATGCATATGACTGATATTCGACCTATACCGTCCCGAGGCGTACTCTCATTAGTAAGGTATATAGGAGTCTTTCTGGACAAATGGGAAATGCAAGGCTGATTGAAAAGTAAACCTATAAAGGGGCTTGATATAATTGCCAATTTTTCCACGAAAGGCAGGGGTTTTACAAAGAACTATGAGTGAATTTAGATGTTACAGTATGAAAGAAGGGATGGTGTACAATATAATGGTCAGACCTATCTTCCAAGAGAACTCATGAAGACCCATCCTCAGAGACCCAGGGGCAGTTTGTTGGGTAACTGGAAGAGGGCACCTTTTTTCTCGACCCAACTGACTGCCCCTCGAAGGGAAAGGGGAGGTCTCAGAGGGTGATGAAGACTCCTATTCCAGGTATCCAGATAACAGATTTCTGATTCGCGTTCGCCGCTTGAGGATATTTAATTTAACTAGTTGAATAGCATGGTCTGTTCAATCCAGCTCACCTGACTGTCAGGACACTGTCTATACTTATCGCCATATATAAATTTACACTGGGTGTCCGCATTGAAGAGAAAACCAGGCAATTTTCCAGCCAGGCTCTTGTTTCCTAACGTAGGAACCGACAAGCTGGGAGGATCATCAAGACACTTGGAACCTGGTCCCCTGTGCCAAAAAGAACATTATTATGTAGCAACCATTTCTCGCACAAAACAAGCAGGAAAACTGATATTTTTTTGGAACATATTAAAGAATGGAAAAGGGCAACGAAAACTGTGATATTGGTATTTCAACCTGTATTTCAAAGTATCTAAAAAGATGCACCTAACAATTGATCCATTCAAGTATTGTACTTAAAAGGTATGTGAGAAGAGCACAATGTAACTGGCCGAAGACAAACTAGATTTTCTCACAGCCTGTTTCGATTTAGAGCGCAGTGGCCAGATGGTGAGGAGAGAGTTAAATAGTACCCCGGGAAAACGGTGAATTTTGTCCCTCGTTCTACTATCTGAACGCCTGAAACAGGCTAGGGCCCTCCAGCTTACAATACCAGTGCTCTAAAGTTAATATTTCGGTCATGCTGCCGTTTTGCTCAAGAAGGTAAGCGCTTGGATCCTGGGGCAGGATTTGTCAAGCAGTGAGTTACTCCCCACCAAGGTAACAGCCATGAAAGTTGCTAACGATAACCTGTCCTTAACAGGTCCGGAAGAAAACTAGCTTAATAAGGACTTACCTTAAAAAGTCTTGTAACAACTGTGATGTGCACTTGGACCATTTAAGTGCTCCTTTACCGCCCGTAAGATAAGTTGACATGATGTTTATTCCATCTTTACAGTTGTTATCCCCGTCATGTCCTGCTCCAAAACTAAAACAACAACGAACTTGGATAGCAGAATTTGGGACATACTGAGATAAACATTTATGTCAAATTTTCGTTCGTTTCTAAGAGAAAATAGAAAAATTTAGACTTGAAGACCAAGATGACCACGAGGAAGAGATTTTCTTAGTACTAAGAAGTGCACGCGCGTGTACCAGCGTCTCTTTGGCGGAAAAACGCGATAGCTGTCGTCAATCTACTACTGGCTTTAGCGAGAATGTCGTAGTGGCGGAAACAAAGTTATCAAGTGTTAGAACCTTTATCACTTTGCGATCTGGAAAGGGTTTTACCATCTTCAATAAAATTGACCGTATTGACTTTTCTGGTAAAAAAAAACCGGTGAAATGAAGCTTTAAGAGGTGTCTATGTTTCGAGCATACGCGAAAAAAAAATTTAGTCCAATCGAGTCATCGTAGTCGGCGGCCTTTTCTCTAATATATAGATTTAGCCACCTTAATGGTGGCCGCTAGCATTTCTCATTTTGTCACCGCCGCTACAAAATTTTCATGTTGTTCTTCCAATAAAAATGTCTCCTTTGTTTTTTTATCTCTCGCTCTAGATATCTGTCGCTCTTTTTCTCTTTAACGGAGATTCCCTGGCCTATCGCCTACGTTCTCTTTTTCTCTGTCTTTCTTTTCTCTACATTCCAGATCTGTGGACATAAAAATTAAGCTACGCTTAATACTTAACAAAACACGGATACAGAAACAATTTCCGCTTTCGGTTTTCGTGTTTATTGACTCTTTAGTTGTCTTTGCTTCAAAAGACGCGGATGGCTATGCGATTTCCCGCCAAAAGTAACCTCGAGTTGCATTTGGATTTCCAGTACCTGTTAATTGAGTTATTTTACATTGGTATGCCTCTGGTGTGGACGTTCGGGCGTACGGTCACATGATTACCAAAATTTCTTGGATGTATACATTACCAAGGGTAAGAAGCCCCATAGCCCCATACCAGGTATGGGCTATGCCGGCTAGCGCGCTTTGCGCGCGCGTGGCGCTCCGCTATTACAGCTCACTCATAAGGGTATAGCTTAATTGCCTCAAAGGGGTTGTGTCACGGCAGTCCACTTAATTTTCTTTAATTTTGCCAATTACTCGCCCTCAATCGCTATGGAACTTAAAATAAGCAAAGAAATTAGATGTAAATGACAAACTCAGAGATCTGTGACAAACAAATATGTCTCCTGAGCATAATTTTTGAAGTTGCAAGCAGCAGCGGATCAACTTTGAAAAACTGTTGGGCTGAACAGTTTTCAAAAACCCTAATTTCAATCCGTTTCAATCTTCTTCAGTTTTGCCCATCCGTGGCATCTGTTGTTTCTGTTATGTTATTTTAAGCTTCCTTTAAAGTTTTAAGCAGTTTCTCTTAATTTAAAGGGCCTTTTGTTATTTCCTAATTTGACTGAATTTCGTGACCAAATAGTCTAGTTTCATTGTCATAACTGTTCCTCGATTAGCTTCAACAGAAGTTGAGCATGCTTGTTTGCTCACCCAGAAATAAAAGTAACACTAACGTATTTAGCACAGAAACTCACTTGTGACCAGTTTCGTGGGCAATAATTCCAGCAGTTTGCAAACCAGCATATCCGTTTACGTTACTAACCACTCTGTGATAACACAGGCCACCAGACAATCCCCTCCCTTTGAAAAAAAGAGACATATTATTATCGTGAAATAAAACGCAACTGTTGAATCGCCAAAAATGCAAACATGACTGTTTACAATTCACACGTTTAAGAAACAGTCTTGTGATTGCATCGTGAAAACTTTCCAATATATAATTATAGGTCCAGCAGCCCATCACTGTCATAGTCTTATTATTCATTTAAAGTAGAAAGAATTTCAGCCTCGTGAGGCTGTTATAGGTTAGCTAATAAAGAAAGCTGGATCAAAATCTTCATTAAAAACTGAATCTTTGGATAATGCAATTCTAAAGCTCTGATTGGCTTCGCGTCATAGCGTATGAACCACTACATTATACCATGCTCTCTACCTATGGTAACTGTTCGCGTCTGCTGAAAATCGGTTGTTTTTACAAATAAAGACGGAGAGAATTCTCTATTTTTTGTGGGCGTTTTTAATAAAACATTGATTCCACTCGTGCTTGTTGAATGTGAGATGATTATAGCCAACTCATATCCAACGCGCACTCGTGGAATAATTGTTAAATACCCAGCAAGCGTTGACTAAATTTGAAGACATTTGCGATATCCGATAAAATGATATCAGTGTTGCAGGATAAAATGACAAAAATTTACGGCAACCGAGAAGCCCTGACGACTAAGTTGAGTTCGCTAAGCTGTTTAAGTAGTGCTAGAGAAAATGGCGGAAAATTTTACCTGTTTTTTGAAGAAGAAGTAGCCGAATTATTGCCTAAAAACATTGAAAAACTCCAAAAATACAACTCAACGGATGAAAGCTGCCATTTAATATCTGTAGACTAAAAATGAAACATTGTAGTCATGACAGACACTTACCACCGCGATGGCCACTGTAAAAGAAAAGAAAAGAAAAGCTGATTGAGCTCGTTGCGTCACTAGAATACTCACAGATTCCTTCGCCAGTGGAGCTATAAGGCCTATTAATGGGTAGCCTGCGTGGCAGCGCTCGAAAGGGAAGGGAAAGGGGATTTTGGGTGCGAGACGAAACGCGAGGGGCACTGCCACGCTGGTTATTAATTAATCGGTTCGGTGTAGTGCCTGATGGATTACCATAGTAACTACAGTGAAACCTGTATTAAGCGAACACCCTCGGGGAATGCTGTAGTGTCCGCTTAATACAGGGTGTCCGCCTAATACAGGTTTTCGATAGGTAAAGTCATATGAGGTGTCAAATGCCATTCAAATGAACAGTCGAAATGTTAAGAATACTCCCAGAAACTTTGACGATATACGTTTGCATTAATTTCTTTATCAAAGTGGTCCAATTGATCATAAACTTAGATTGCAACTCAAATTTGAAGAAATCGGATGAGTGAAGCAAGCTCTATACAAACAAAACGAAATAGAAAACAATACTGTACAGTGAAACCAATCAAATAAGTTCGTCAAGTCACCTTTTTTAATGTAAAAATAGAAAAATTTGTGGGTGGCAATTCGAGGCCATCTTCGCATTTCCGGTGTCTGGCATGTTGGGTGGTGGCATTTGATTACAAGTGTCCGTTTAATACAGGTTGGTAACAATAGAAATGAGTATTCTAGGTACTTTTTAGGTGTCCGCGTCCGCTTAATAGAGGTATCCGCTTAATGAAGGTTTCATTTAAAGCAAATAAGGGAAATAAATTTTGGGCCTTCCGCTTAACAGAAGGTGTCCGCTTAATACGGTGTCCGCTTAATACAGGTTTCACTGTAGTACGATTACCAACATCAGTGAAACTACAGGTACTAAGTGATATTAAAGGAATACAGCACGAATGTAATAGTCCTGATACTAAGTGAAAGTAGATTATCATTTGTACTAGGATAAAGATACTTGTTTAGTTAATAAAGGACATTATGTAGAAAGCAATGGAAGTGTGAGTATTTCCTTGTTTCATTAGTACACTACATCAGGTTAGGTATGGTCTATTGGTGAGGGTTGGAGTTGAGCAACTCTTGAGCCTCTAGAAAATGTTTCCATGTTACCTGATCGGCGTCCCAATCAGCATCGCCTAACCAAGCTCCCATTAGCTTCTAGTATTTTTGATTAGGGTCAAACTTGAAGCAAGTGACACACCCACACCAGCCCATGGCCTGGCTAGTCCTTCATGCATGCGCACAGCCATGTCACCCGGCAGAGACAGCCATGGACACCTACTTCGCCCTCATTAGGCCTCAACAGCATAAAATAGCTCTTTATGGCTGCCACTCCGAGGGTGATATGCGTAGGTACTGGCAATACCGCGGAGTTGGTAGTGCAAAGTGGTTTCTTGCTGAATTTGGTCGACCAGGAGATATTTTAAATTCAGTTTACAGCATTTTCAGATCAATTGCGCAATATTTTCAGGCTTCACTATAGTACATGTCTTACAGTAATTTTGGGTAAAAACCGAAGAAAAAGTTTGTGGCAGTTTGGGAGTATTTTGCCAATTTTTCCGTGGTATGTTGGTATATTACTACCCTTCCCCCCACTTTGGCCAACCCCGTCCTATATATGTCAGAACCGTAAACGTCACAACAATTTGGCATATCAGTGGGTTATTGTGCTCGACCAAGAGGACTCAAAGGTCATAATAATAATAATAATAATAATAATAATAATAATAATAATAATAATACTTTATTCAAATCCATATATGCACATAAACATGATACACGATACATATTTGAAAAGGTGGACCGCCAGCTTATCTCTGTAAAAGGTCCCTAACTGAACTTTACATAAAAAAATGTCAGATGCAACTGCACGTCCGCCAACTTATGGACTTCTGCCGCTAGCTCTGAAACCGCAGCCTTTCTACAAAGTGGAATTCAGTAATGTCTCTAATTGTTTTGCCAAAGGCCTGAAATGGTGAAGTGGATATCACCAGATGGTTTGTAAACTGATATAATGAGACAAAAGAACTGAAGTAATGTTATTGTACTCACACATGAACCAGTGTAGCAACTTCAAAATAGTCTGGATCGCTTTTGTTACGAGGCTTGTGTTTTTCAATCCATCCATTAAGCTTGGCCATCCTTTCCAAATTGTTTGAACTTAGGTTCACATTTAGCTATGAAACAAGTTACAGTGAATTAAGTCACATTGATAAACAACACTAGCCCAAGAAAACAGCCGAAATTTCGCTACGCCACCCCTGGTTTCCCCGCGAAATGACGTCTGAGAAACGAGCGCAGCAATTCCATATTTATGACACGTCACTACCCAGATCTGGTTAGTGCTTCTGATTGGTTGAAGCACATTTGCCACGCGGCACGACCAATCAGAAGAACTACTCAGAATTGGTTAGTAACGGGTCATCAGTATGGAATTTCTGTGCTTGTTTCTCAGACGTCATTTCGCGGGGAAACCAGTGGTAGCGCCGTAAAAGGTCGGCTTTTATCTCAGGTGAAAACAACACGTGTTGACATTGGACGCTTTCCATTGAGCCCAAAATTCCGGATATTTTGGTTAGAAATCAGATAGAACTGACCACTTCGGTTTGGTTCGACCGGAATATTTGAAACCAGCTTTGAAGGTGGTCCACTTTGACCGTTCGGTCAGACCGAAATGTATTTTTCCAATTGACAAAATTGTTGTCCCCAGTGCCGCTCGTTTGTATCCTGCTTACATGAACAATAACCAAACGCGCGGTAGCTTGGGTCGGGTGTGTGCAACCGCAATGTACCGTTCCATTGGTACGTGGAGTTTCCGAAATTTTATACCGTAATTTTTGTTGAATGGGAAGCGCCCATAGAGACAGATAAAAAGCAAATTACATCCTGAGTTAATACCTCTTTGTTGGTGATGATCATAAGTCGGCTGACCACATAAGTTACTTTTATTTTTCCGATTGAGTTATCGCGAAACATGCCAGCAACCTTTAGTAGGAAACAAAATATAGTAAGTGATATAATATTGTGCTAAGAGATTATTATTATTATTATTATTATTATTAGATCACACATTCTATAAAATATCTGCATTAAAAATCAATGAAGATATCATGGTAGTTTATTAAAGGAAAGTAAAAAGTGTTTTTCGAAGACTAATCATTTTTTGGCTTTATTATTACTGTTCCCGAGGAGCCTTCTAAACGTCACTTCATGCAAACTAGGCAACTAGCTGGTCAATTTTAAAATGGTTGACGTGTACTGATGCGAAAACCAATTTGTCACATGTCAAAAACAAAATTGTTCGCACTAGTGAACTTTCTAAGTTGAGCACGAACAGTAATCCGTAATAAACACAAGCTCCATCCGCATTAAGTTTATTTTTAAACTGTTTCTTACGATGTTTGCAAGAATGAGCAGGAAGTCTGCGGTATTGTTTCCATGCTTGGCTGCGACATTCTCATCCGCCAACAAACCAACTTGTAAGTACTTGTGAGAAGAAGCTTTGGAAGAACCCTCATCTCTGGCTTCATCGATCTTAAACGTTGACTCAAACTTTGAATCTACACATGGAATGAAAATAACAATAATGAATTATACTGATACATCATCCATCCATGGTACTGTATTTGAAGTAATATTTTACAAACGAGGAAGAGCATTTTATCAAAGTCTAAAACACAAGAGGGAGCCGATTGATTTAGACTTCTGTAGACCGTCATACAAATCTAACGGAGATAAAAACGTGGCAAATTTTGCAGCGGAGGTTGAGATATGTGTTAAGAAAAAGAAGATACTGAAATACTACTGATTGTGTTATCTCGAGCTTACAGCACGTTTGAAAACCACTCATTCAAGAAAATTTCACAAAATTGAGTTATCTATCTCAAGTATAGATTTTTGCCATTCAACTTCGCTGCTGCAACGTGTCATAAAAATAGACTTAATTACCAATCAATTGAAGAGTAAATTTATCTGTGATCGATCAAATCACTGAATACATTTCAAAATACCCTTGATTTTTTGTTTTGGAAAAGACAAATAATGTACCTGTGTTAGAGTGGCATTTGATTTGCTTCACTGACTTCCTGTAGACAAGATGTGGTTTAGCTCCACTCTTGGTAGCCACGTGATTTGCCAAATGGTTAGGAAGAGGGTGAACAAAGAAGGTGTCATCGGACAATCTTATCATGCCAGTCTAAAGACGAATATAGTTTTCTCAAAACTATTTTTTTATATACTTGAATAACTAGCTTAAAGTAGACACATAGAATTCTGCAATGCTGACCGTACTACGTGAAAATTAACTTTGCGCAGTTAATTTTCACGTAGTACGATCAGCATTGCCGAATTCAGTGTGTCTACTTGGTACATTTTAGCTGATCAGGTCTTCTTTAGATCCTACATTCTGCGGCAAATTCGTTTGTGGTCCTTTGCAGTTAATGTTTGTTTGGTACCGTTTTGTTGGAGCAAAACTTCCTGCATTTTTTCATCCTAATTGGGGTTTCGCCTGTAATAGCGTCAAAGGTATTGTTGGTTTTCACATCAGGGGCACCCAACGAGGATATAGTTCAAAACCACTTAACATAGCATTGTTGAACGTATTTTAGTATTCAAACGGTAGATATAAGCATATTTTTATCCCCTAAAAACTTTTCATCTGTTCGGATTTCCTAGCTGAAAGTCTAGTGATCCGAAAATTATAGGGATAAAAAGTTACCTTCTCGAAAATTTCAGCCAGGAAGAGGCTCCCGAAAATTCTAGGTGGCCTTTTTTAGGGTCAAAATACGTTAAAAATGGGTAATTATACCATTTTGTATATGTTCGAAAATCCTAGGAGAGGCAGGCAACCAAGAAATTTTACAACAAATGCTCCGAAAATTCTAGATCTCAAATCGTCTTCCGAACAGACATTTTCCCGAAAATTGCCGTTGGGTGCCCCTGTCACATGACGTCACTAAAATTCAAACTAAAAAAACTATCGATCCTACCGAGATTTTACTTTCACGATGCATTAGACCAGCTGAAAACTAATCTTCATACAAATTTTCGTTTCTAAAGGGTTCTTAGTTTTGTGATAGAGTACGCTTGAATTTCTAAGCTTTTGCCTGACGTGGCATTTACTTGACGGCCAAGAATCAGTGTATGTTTTGGAAGAAGTAGGTAGTATAATGTTTTAAATTTTTAGATTGTGGAATTATAGCCGAAGTATTTGCATTGTGGGGGGACAGTTTTTCATCCAATGAAAAAATCAATCACAAAGATCACTCACCAGTCCCTTGTCGTTGCTAATAGCTACTAAAGACCCTGGATCCGAGGACACTGTTCCATGAAAGTACCAATCTGATTTCAGAGGCATTCGTGTGACCTCGCCATTTGCGTGCCTTGTTTCCAGTTCGAGGCCAGGTTTTACCAGCTGCGTGTTTCTTCTAAGCTTCAGATGCATTTCTTTGCCAAACGCGTCCATCTTGTAATGCCACTCGCCACTATGTTGTGTATCGCGTGTGTGTCGCTCGTGGAGCATGTGAGACACGAAGTCGCCTTCTTTATTTGACTGATATGGCTCGGTTATTTGGTACTCGGGAACTGCACAAATGACGTATGAAATATGTGATATTGGTTACCAGATATGCTAAGGATACGATCATCACTGTTTTGGGAGAAGGCCTTCAGTATTATTTTAAAAGGACACACCCACAACTAAAATTAAAGGTTAACTTGTTAGAAATATATAGGAGCAAATGGAAAGAAAGAAATTCAATTTTTAATGATGCCAGATTACGGTTATTGAATTCTATATTGTTAATATAGGGACAGTAGGGTCGTTTTTGAGTTCAAGAAAGACAATTCAATATTCTGACCTTCACCTTCATCTTCACCTTCACGTTTCTATAGTAACACATTAAGTGTTAGCTGTTGAATTTTTATTTTCATGCAAAAACGCTTCATGAATTCGTTAACAACGAAAATGAAAGTCAATGTATTTTCGGGGTTATGAAACTGATGGCTGCCTTATTGAAAGTCAGTATTTCTGGTAATGACTAGCGGGGACTAGCGTAACGGGTGTATCTGCTCAGTTATCCCCTCGATTACACCTACCAGCATTGCACCACTCGTCCATGATTTATACAATGACTTACCATCTTCAGGGGTGTGGACTCCAAAGAACCGCTGTATTTCCTTGTCTGTCATATGATGGTGAAGAGGCTATTCATGAACAATATTACAGTCTTAAATCGTGTCACTTAAATTTCTGTCATTTCTATGGAACATCACAGAACAAAACGAATGTCTAAAAAATGTATGTGAGCCTGTTCACCAGAATATATGTATTGCCAGAAGCTCGTCAAACCCTCTCAATGGTTACCCAAGCACGGAAACCGCCAAAGTTTGCAGAACAGTTGGAAAATAAGAATCTAGAAGATTGACTCTGATTCTTTAATTTTTGAAAGTTCTATTTAATGATTTTTTTCTCCAAAATAATTAGGGGTATGTATAGTTATGGAGTAAATTGTGCATGTTACCTCAGGTGAAACTTAATGACTTTATTCATGCAGTTAGCATCCCTGATACAGTGGAGTCGATCCCGAGGTTTTCGAAGAGTATTTTTCGAAACTCTCCATTTTTCAAACCAAAAGTCGTTTTCCTTGGATTTACTTGGTTTTGCCCATGATTTTTCGAACCCTCGATTTTTGGAAATTCCGGACGGGATTTTACGAACAAATTCTGCTTCCTTTCAAAAATTTGCACTCGATTTCTCGAACCTGAAAATTCGGGAGCCAAGAAAAACTGGTCCTAGCCAAATGTACTATTGGTTAAGCCTTTAAAAGGTTCCTGAGAACCGCAAGGTGTTTTCAGGTCATCAGTACACTTTTTAGGACAAAAAACGTGACATATCCATCATTTAAGTAACAAAGGAGCTACAACGTCGTTTGATACACAATCGAGAGTCATTTCAGACATAACAGAGCAGAGTTTCGGGGTTAAATAAGAGGAAAGAAAATATCACCCGTTCTTTTAGCTGACTAAATTACTACTGTAATATTTTTTTCACCGTCGGCCAATCTATTAAAGCAAATGGAAAGTAATGGTTTTTAAATTGCACGCAAAATTAACACATATCAGCAGTACTGGTTTTTTGTTTTGAAGCTGACGTGAGACATAAATCGTTTAATTTACGCCGGGTACATGACGTTTTGTTTGTACATAAAGATGGTACATACATTGACATGTGAGAGGCCTGTTTGGTTCTTATAAAATAATACCATGGTCAGGTGTGAGTCGATGCTACTTTCAAATTCGCTTTTTCGAAATCCCATTTTTTGGGACCAATTTCTATTTCCCTTAAAGGTTCAAAACTCGGGATTCCACTGTATACTTTTTGCTAGTTTTCTCGAACACTTAACGAATAGATATTAAACCATTGAAAATACAGGATCACATTGTGAACGAGCTCAAAGCTCATTGTCGACACGTGCCTTTAAAAAATATACTACTACTTTATTCTTAAAAACTGAATAACATCGCGCGACAGGCGACATCAAGATGACAACCAAGCTAGAAAGAGGTAAAATGTCTGTAACTAATGTAAGAATAAATCACATAACGGATATATCTGTACCGTAAATGACCTAAGAGACACTTAGGACGTCTATTTAATCAGTTTGGAGCCCATGCGTTGGCGGTTAATAACCGATAAGAGGAGTTTAAAGAGAGAAGCCTTTTTCTTATAACTGCAACAAACTGCACAAAACTAATATGAATTCGGCGAATGAATTACCACTGTTAATATACATAGCATAACAGACTATCCAGTCCATTCATTGATACCTCTATTAAAGTCGTTTAATAAATCCATATTCAATTTGTTTTTTTAAAGCTCAACTTTGATGTCAGAATCCTCACTTTAAACTTGACGCTGAACAATCAAACAAACTGGGACCAAAGAGATTGAACGATTTTGCTCTATTTATTAATTCCTTGTATTTGGGGGCAGCTGTCAGGCAGAGTGTCTATTAGACAGAGGGTGTTTGTCAGAGGGGGACGCGTCTTGTACAAAGTTAAGCTTAAGGGGGCGTTTTTTAGACATGAGGCATTTATTTGATAGATAAGGAAGAGGACGTCTGTTAAATCATTTACGGTAAACGTATCCAAAAGTTGTGAACGTTAGAAATGTTTTACGTTTTTACGTTTAAAAATGTAATAAAGCCGATTAACTCACACCTTTGCATTCACAGGTAAGCGTTGAACGCAACCTGCAAATATAGCATATGTTTAGATATGTCAGGAACCTGTAAGTAACGCTTGATAGAAATGAAAAAAGGGAAGTGCATGTACGTTTGGTAGTCATTTACCACATAAAGCTGACAGAGTTTAAAAATCTTACCTATCATGACCAAAAACAAGACCCAATGTGCAGGACAAAAAGTAGCTCGCATTGATAAAAAATAGAGAGAAAATTTCAAACGTGGCAAAGAGAAACCGTGGACTACTTGAAGTTAACTCAGACTGTACTCTCTCTTCATAAACTCCTCTATAAATGATAATTGTCCTCGAGTTAATGAATATATGAATATTCATATGTTTATCATCTGAAGTAATAGTTTTCAATTTTTTAAAAGATAAAAGTACACATCTTTGTTTAACATACGGGTAGAAGTAGATAATTGGAATAACAACAATGAGATTAATTTTCATAAGTTCCAGTACCGCTGATAAGCTTTTGTTAGCAAACAACTCTCCAAAAGTACCAAAACCTGTTTTGCCCCTCAAAGTACTCGCAAGCAACCACTTCCCGTAAGCGACCACCACACTCGGCAGCTCTCGGCAAGCTAACTCAGACTTCAAGAGCATTTGAGAGGTAACTTATGGATGGCAAAACAGTGAGCGATACAGCTTTGCAAGCGGGCGATCATGCCATATCTTATTCTGAAATCGAAAAAAAAATATTTCGCCCAATTTTTCCCACCGCAAAATCAATTTCTAATCTGTTTCGTTACAAAGAAGAAGATCGTCTTTTTACTTCTTTCCATAACAAATAGTCAGTTGATTGTAGGTCTTTTTCATAGACTCAATGTAATCATCATTTGGTGTCAGACATGATAGCCGAGCAGCTCTAGTAACTAAGCGACCCCCTCAATTAAAAAAGCACCTTTCCAAAACCATAACCTAAGACAGATGAAGTTATCATTACAGCATCCATTTGACTAGCCGTTCGACTCATGAATGCGCGATTTACTTACGTGTGCGTTACCCATGCAGGCACGCTTTTTCGCCGATTTAGAAAGAACTTTTTAGGCTCCTCTCTTTCAGTCGATAGCTGATCAATATTTCACATCTTTGCGCGCAGGTCTCTCTTAATTTCAACCTACATAAAGACTTTATTTCAGTAAAGAGTGTCGGGCGTAAATAACAATTATTCGCCGAAGTGGTTGTGGCTAGTCGATGTTTTTACCGAGCTGCGAAGCCATCGAAACTGACCACTAGCCATCGACACTGAGGTGAATAATTGTTTTAGCATATACTAAAACAGTGAGATAATTGAGCACAAAAATGATGATTTTTCACTCAAATACTGTTGCCAACTATTACAATGCTGGCCCGTAATGACCGAACTGCCGCAGCCGTCGCTTTTTCTTGCCGACAAATAAAACTTTTGAAGGCATTTGTTTACTGGCTCTGGCGGGGAAATTTCATCAAAAGGAGTTGCGAATTCTTTTTGTATTTAAAATCATTCTGTAAAACGAAATTCAGAAACGAAATTAGGACATAAATCGCATAAGTAAGGCAGGGCTAACTTAAATACCATTTTGTAAATCAAAAAAAGTTTATAAATATTTCTTATATTTCTTATATTTACACTAAGTTCGACCCAAGAAATTTCATTTAACTGATAGAGATACCCTGTTTGTCCCTTTCAAAGCACCGGTTACAACCCTTGCGCCCTCTATTTGCAAGCTTTCTAACAAATTATTATCAGATTCAGAACATCCATCCCAAACCTCGTTAGCATATTCTAAGGATGAACGCACCAAGGATTTAAATAAAACTTCAAGTGTATAACGGCTCAAATTGTATTTCAATGGCTTCAGGAGGTTCAATTTTTTGGAATCTTTTTGATAAATTTTGAATATATGCGCTCACCAAAATAAGTTAGAAGACAAGGTCAAACCACTCCACTTTGTTTCTCTTCACCCAGTTGTATGTATGGGTACTGGCGACGTACTGCTAGGGGTGACTTTGCGATGGACTTGCATCCCGTCCAGGGGGGCAGTAGCAATATTCCTAGGCATGCTTCATGCTAAGAAAATCGGGATAAGCTCCGGCCGTTTGGCCTTTGGCTCGTGTGCGCCTTTTTAGTGCACTACTGAAATTATACACCCTCTCAACGGAGCCACTTCTGTAAACATTAAAGAAAAACTCTGCTCGCATGGTTCACCATAGACTGTTAAAACAATTGGCTGCTCCCCCACCCCCAACTAAAGAAAAGGTTCCAGGAAGATCGCAGGGGTACAGAGGGTATCTATGTCGAAAGCGAGATGATTGGAGTTACCGGTGCTTTAGTCATAAATTGAAACACCGTTGTATGTACAGTCATCATGACGTTTTCGGGCACCAAACATCCCATCAAACTGACAATAACAAAAAGTTCTTAACATGTATTAAACAAATAACAACAGTTGTGACACAGAGGCTTGAAAATGATATTTTTTATAATAGTAAGTGTACATTCCAGTTAAATCATATTGTACATCATCTATACATCATGAGAATAAAATAATCTGCATCGAATCATCTGACAGTACAGAGATATCACTTAACGATCAGTCTTTATATTTTTCTTTTACTTCATACAAAACCTTGTGGGTACCAGCCCGGCCCATAATTGGTAGGTAACATTAATGTTTCATTCACACGCCGTGCACAGCCAGGGTGAAACTAAGGCATATCAGTCTTGGGTAATTATGAACCCTTTCCTGCAGATACCCTCAGTGAGATCCAAAAAGATGTGAAACCTTTGTTGGCAGTAACACAATCATCACTGTAATATCCTGAATAAACAAGCACTTTGTGTCGTTATTTCATTACCAGCACTGTTACCTTATTTCCCTTTTTTTTAGAAGTGCATTATGCATTAGCACTATAATTACTTGAAAATGCATCACAGCGGCGTTTTTCTACTTACTGTTTAAGAACTAAATAAACAGAGTAGCAGTTATATTTCAGAACATCACTCACTACAAGAGGTTTTAACTATATCAGAGATGCCAGCCTCTGGAGATCTAAAACTCTGGAGGGTTCCTTTTCCCTAGTCTTAAATGAATTACAGACCATCAAATAATAATAATAATGTTGTTTTCATGACTGTAATGACAAAGTTATCTTTGTGAATCATAACGCACTGAATTTAATGTTTTAAGGGTGGATTCATTTGCAGCATACTGTACAGCTGTCACATTTGTCCACTGGAATTCTTGTTCTTGAGCTTAAAAACAATGAAAAATATTGGAACAGGCACAGCGATAGCTATACAAGTAGGCTACAAATTAATCCATACAAGCCAACATCAGAAAGATTAAATTATTTTAAGTATTTTTGAAAAGCTTTGCACACTGACATTTTCCCCTCTGGTCATAACAAATAAATGATATATGTTAATTCTTCAAGACGTATACTTTTTGCTTGCAATATTGCCAGTGGCGGATCCAGGGGAGGGGCCTGGGAGGGCCAGGCCCCCCCTTTATTTTTAGACCAAACTGAGGCCCGAAGGGCTGAAAAAAATTGTTTTGGAGACCAGACCCGCCCTCCTTATCTCTGGGTCTTGATGACTGGCCCCGCCTTACCTGAAGGCCTGGATCTGCCACTGATTGCAACATCCTACATTAAAATATTGACAATAAAATAATTGCACAACATGCACATGTATTATCACCAGTAACCATGTTACACACTGTATGAGTAATAAATATATTATAAACCAGTGCTGAAAAAAACTGACTTTCTGGGATCTCAGTTACTCAGAAATAACAATCAACACTTAGTCTGAATTAGAACCCCGTCCATCCACAGTAATCCAGAGAAAAAAAAACTGAAAACATGGCTTGCTTTTGTCCAATTAAGCTTTCCATTCACATTGAAATACTGGTTTCAACCCCATGGATGCAAGTCCAGAGTGAATACATTTGAACAAATAAACCTGCTAGATGGCTAGGTGTTAAGTAGCCTGCGAAAACAGCCCTCCCTCCTCGCTCTTCACTGCTAGGGACGTTTTGCCTAGAGGGACTTTTGTGCCTCAGTGACTGAAAATCCATACTGATGATGACGTCAGCGTCAACATAATTAATCAGGTAGACACGGGGTTCCAAATGTAAATTTGTTCAATTTTATGTTTCTCCGGCCAGGTCAAATATGGTAAAGTTTTGTTTTTTTCTGTGAAAGAATTCCAGAAAAACTCAAATGCTTCTTCTAAAGAAGAACATATTCCAAAAATATTGACTATTTTTTTGTAGATTCATCCCATTTACATTTGGGCTTGGCAAGTGTTTGTCTTTTGTCTGTCGGTCCTAAACAATGGCTAAAACAATATAACTACAGTACTACATCGTCAAATCAGATCTCCTGACCAGATTCTGGACAGATTTTACGTCATCAGTATGGAATTTTTGTCGTTGAGGCGCTGACGTCTCTCCTGGTAAAACATCCCTGGTGGTGAGGGGGCTAGGTGTTTAGTGGTGAATAGATGGATATGGAACTTTTTGAAAACATTGAAAGGATGAAAATAATACTTTGAAATCATTACAATAATCATTGGTGGCGAAGCAGTGGAGGAGAAAGAATAATATTAGATGTTCTCCATCTCTGAGGTTCAAATTATCCCCTTTCTTCATTCATCTAGACTAGTGTGGAAGAAGTCTTTACATACAGCTCTAAGATAAATTTAATGTACTATTTTTTTTATCTAGGATTAGCATACATTGGCGCTCAGAGTCCAATGAACTGCTTTCCTTTACCCTTCTGTCATCTGGAGTAACCTGCATAAAATCACAAAGGAACAGTAAAAGTTAAATGGAGTACCTTTATTTTGTTCAAATTCTCTAGGTAATGGTGGAAAAGTTCAAATTTATTTTGTTGGAATTTTACAGTAATGTTGTGGCCTTAAGTATCCAAGTCATTTTTACCGGGGATCCTCTAAAGGTGTATTTACTTTTGCAAACATATTACCACACTTATTTATTCAAATAAGTGATATCCCTGAAAAGGCAACTCTCCAAGCAACAATGCAGTGCTTGTTGATTGTCATTGTATTTTACCATGTTGATACACAAAAAAAAGATTTTGAAAATTTCTTAAATTGTCTTTCTTTCACTGTCCTGATCATAATTTTTTGAACAAAACAAAGGAAAAGAAAGAAAAATATGTAGTACCATATTACTTGTGAATGAGAAAAATTATTCTTATTTGTCATGAAAGAGGGATGTTGTTGCCTGATGAGTGTGGTCATTTTTAACTATACAAATCAATATCGTCGCAATAAAGCAATGAATTACCTCTGAAGTCTAGAACAATATTCCATTTATAGTTCATTCATAGTATGACGTGTATAAAGAGTTTGTTTATCGTTTGTCTGACATGATAGCGAATTGCATATTGATCGGAATGTTTCAACTGTGTACTGCAGGTCTTCATCAGGCAATAGTATTGACTTACTGAGTGGAACTATTTGCACCACTGTGGCTGTTAGTGACTGGTATATCATAAACCTCATACAAGGTTGGTTTACTTCAATTTGAAGCATTGTTGGCATTATTAGAGGAGGAAACTGTTCCCTGTGCAGTTCTAAGGGACTACCACAAGACAGAAGATAATAATGAAACCCTTCACCAGTCTCATAAATTATTATTACCACTCTGGAATGAGTGCAAACACTTACTATTAGAGTAAATATAGAAAGTGTATCATTTTAATGTAGTTAATAATTATAAGTGACAATAAATTGCCTGAAGACAGCGACCATACCTGCTGGTGCTGTTCTAGCTTTAACTGTATTATGAAGATGTCCAGGACCATATAGATAGTAACACCGTTTTTCAAATGCTTTCACCATTTTTTTCACAACTTCATCAAAAAACACAGTGGATAGCTTAGAATGGAGGATTGATCGAAACTCAAACTCTATCTGCAGAGGAATGAACCAGACATTTCATTGGACAGGATTCCACAAATACAAAGCTGTGTATTCACATCAAAATGAATGTGTCAAATAACATAGGAATCTTTGAAAATGAAGAAATGATCGTTGCAGTGAACACAATTTATGCAATTGCGTAAAGAAGCCTGAAAAAAAAATTCAGGACTTCAACGGGGTTTGAACCCGTGACCTTGTGACTACTTGTATCTTGAGGATACATGCATGTACCCCCAGCACCTGTGTCACAATAAGTGGTTTACAGATAAGACTTTCAGTAAACAGAACTAGATTAGGGCTGAGGACCAACTAAAATAACAAAGTGTTATAAACAGAGCAAATGTGTTAAAACCTGTATTATTCAAATTCAATCAGTTCATAATGATGACCCATTTGTAATTTTAATTAAGACTGTTTTAAAAAACAGTCTTGCTGCAGAAAGATATAGTCTGAGGGGATTTCATTTTGGTATTGTGCTTACTATTTCTTACTTAGAGAGTCAGTTGTGTCATTTAATATTGAATATTGTAGGTTTTAATCATGTGGAACCTCATTGATGGTTCTTTTGCATGGTATTTCTAAACTTTTTTTAAAACAAAAAATAAGGGGAAAAATGTTGTATCATCAAAAGTACAAAAAAAAAATTAAATTGAGCATTTACTTACATAAAAGTCCAGTGTACAAGTGTTTGGGTTTCCTGGATAGCCAGGACTAAACTTCCAAATTGTCTTCATATAATTAAACATCTCTCCATCGGTGCACTCAGCCTACAGTGTAATCAAGAGCAACAATATTGCTGAGCAAGTAATATCTCCAAGAAAGAAGCCGTGATCATAATTATTACTATCCGAAGAAATGCCGTCAACCATTGGCTTTTAAATGTTTAATTGTATTGATGTGACCAATGTTTGTTTCCTACATTGATAAACTACAAGCCGTCTCTCTTTTTTCTTAGTTCATAGAGCAAAATGCATGAGACACGCAAAAGAACATGCACATGACTGAAGGCGTGAGAAAGGAGAAGCATGAAAAAAGAGCTATTTTCTTTGTGGGCTGCTGCCCTCGTTTGTCAAGTGGCTGTGCACTCCCATTACTAAATCTGAAGAAAAAGAAGGTCTGCTCCCAGTCTACTATAATGAACACATTCATTCTCCCTTGAGAGGAATATTATTTTAAAAAAACCTAGGCCAATTTTTTCAAAGGGTAATTCGCACACATCCAGTGTGTACTATGAGAACTCTTCTGGACTGTTAGTACAGTTAACCCACCATCAAAAGTTAACCAGTTTGCAGGGTTGTCATTAAGAGCCGTGGGCCGGGGATTTTCCTTGGCTACTAAGAGAGTAGCCCCCGGCTACTTTTATCGGAAAATAGAAGAAAAATAGAACCAAAAGAAATCCCTGGCCATTTGATTCCCCGCCTACTTGTTGTATTTACCCGGCAACTTGAAATCTTAGTGACAACCCTGAGTTTGAGTAAAACTCAGCTGTGTTTTGAGTGTTAAAGCTGACTGATACCTTCACTAAGTTTGGTGGAACAAGCGTAACAGAGGAGCTGTATTTTTCCACCACAGGTGGGAAACCAACTGCTAACTTTGCTTTTAGATGACCTGGCTTTCTGATCAAAATAACTGAGTCCCTGCACCATGGAACAAAGTGCTTATAATCTTCAACATCAGAAACAACTGCATACATGTCCTCCATTGAATAACTGAAAACATAAAATATGTTGAAAAAATGAAATGCTGGGTTTAAACTGATCTTAGGGTTGAAATGATTTCAAACTAGCTTAGGGAACCTTAATTTTCATTGGCCATTGAAGGAAAAGAAATAAATTATGGAGCTGCCACTTTTGCTTTTGCTGGTTTTAAAATCTGGGAAAAAATTCCCTCTAAATTACAAAAACGTTCTTATAATAGCTTCTACAAGCAATACAAACTGTACCTAATAACTACCCAATGAGTAATTTGATTTCTCTGCCCTCGCTATCAATTCTAATTTCTATTGTTTTTTATATAAAATTGTAAGTATGACTTTATGCACTTTTAATTTTCCCGTCTCTATTATACGCTACCCAAATGTCTACACCAGTTAGTTGCAGGTGGCAGTGACCAACCTCGAAAGCCTAGGCTTCTTTGGTCTCTGAGACTGTGCACATTTCACCTTTAATGATTTATGTAATTTCATGTTGTTTTATTTTACTTTTGTAATGTACTGTATTTTTGTTGTAGTAAACTCTTGAAATAGTGCAATAAATAAAAAATCTGAATCTGAAATCTGATCTGGGTCATGATCAGTAACCCATGAGCAGTAATCAGATCACAGCACATCAGAGGAACTGATGAAACCTTGCCCAGGGTGGATTCAATGATTCCTTTGGTATACTATGATCCAAGAGATCTCTGATCACTGATCCTGACCTGAGTCATCCCAAAGGAAAACTTTTATTTTTCTGTCTTTATCTACATGTAACTAACTTTATTTAGAGAGTTACTGTGACTTTTACATGGGTCTTATTAGAAGCTAGGACCCAGGTACTGGTACTCCGTCAATGTTCTCTAAGCACTTTAAGCAAAATGGACAAGTGGACTCTCAACCCACTTTTCCAACTTTCCTCGCCTAATCAACCTTAGGCACTCTTCTACTTTAAAAAATAGTGAAAATCCTGAACTTAACAGTTATAAGAACTGATAAACCTCTGAACCTTTAGTATACAAATTTCAAGGCTCTCAGCACAGTTTGAGAAAAAATAAACTATTTCATTTGAATTGTCAAAATCAGTGATTCGAGTGAAATATTTGATTTTTCCTTCAAACTTTGCTCTAAGTCATGAAATTTGATACCAAATGTCTTTGCCAGAGCAGATGAAAAACCTTTTTGGTTTCCAGATTGAATTAGAATTATACTGGTTTTTGAGAAGATGGGAAAACTGTATCACCCAGAGAAAAACCTCTTGGAGCAGAGAAGATGACCAGCAACAAACTCAAACCACATAATTATGGCATGAGGGATGGGAAATGAAGGCACAAAGAGAGAAAGGTGAGTGCTCCCAACAGTGGACTATCCCATTTGAGTCTTTCTTGGAATCATGAAAGGTAAACTAAGGTAACTGGTTGTTGTACCTATGTGTCGTTGTGCTAATGCCCCATTTGCTAATAGTAATTTCTCTTAAGAAATGAAATGAGGGCTACAAAATAATGTTTGTAGGTCGTTCCTTCAGCCATGACAAAAAGAAGTCTAATACATGTCATAGTTAGGGAAGGACCTAACATCTTAATGAACATTCAAGACGTAAGGGAACAGGTTGCTGGTAGCCTGTGTAGCTGGCGGAATTGTTCGTCCTCAAAAGTAGGAAATTTTGGCGATGAACCTGTTATTCCAAGAAGTCATCACTGAATGAGCAAGAAATTCCTTCAAAGTGTCTCTTCCCCATTCTCTGCACAGATTCACAACTCCTCTGCCCCAACATGGGCTGATGTGATGATCCCGCCAGGTGCGCAGGCTTGGGCACCAGCGAAATGACTTGTAGGTGAAACAACCATGAATCATTACAAAATTGCATTATCAGTACATGCAGTAGTTAAGCGTAACTGCTGTAAAATAGGAAGTATTGCAACCTGATCTAAGTCATTTTTAAAAGTAGCTTATCATATGGGAAATCAAAGATGTAAACAAAACAATAGGGTCCTACACTTATCCTCTCAATGTCTGAAAGCCTACATTAGCAGATTAGTCCCCATATTGTAATGCTGTGACAACTTATGACTCAACAGAAACAATCATAACAAACTACGGTACTGAAGGTCCAAAGCTCACCCGAGTATCCGCCTTTCTGAATACTTTTTTCTTCGCGAGTTAGAAGCAGTGAGGGGATTCGGAATGAAAGATCCTAATAAAGTTCTCTTTGGTATCACGCATATGCTTTGACTGTTAGATTCCAGAGTGCCTTGGTTCTTTTTCTTCGAAATAGCGTCGAAGCCGGGTGAAAGCCGACAGCAACATAATCCTAAGCACCTGGGGAAAAATTTTTTGGAATCATTTATAGCGCGTAAACAAAACGAAAAAATTCAAAATCAAAATAGATATTAGTTTCATAATTTACAGAAAACATTCAAATACCTTTTAGCTTGCCAGATTGCAAAAGACTGCCGTAAAAGCGGTAAAGTTTTCGCTTGTACTCTCATGGTGGCCATTTTGAACAAATAAATATTTCGTCATATTTTGAGTTAATTACATCTGGCCAGGCTACCAAGCCAAAACATGGCGGACAGCGAAGCACTTTCACGGTAATGGCACAGAACAACAATCTTTTAGTAGCAAGAGCTCTTGGTAAGAGAAAAAAATAGATTTTATAGCATCTAATAACAATTAATTTGAATTTTAAGACTGGCATGTCTAGAAGACTATTTAATGGTGGATTGAATTGGCAGATTCAGTTCTCTTTGAACGTACCGAGAACAAATAGTAATTATTTCTTTCCCAAAAATACGTGTATTATTATAATTCTTGTGTTTCTTCGGGCATTGGACTTAAATATCCATTATAAATTCTACTGATTTTGTTCAAAATACACACTTTTGATGATGTTTAGCCTATAAAACCTCAGAATGCAAGGCCAATTACCCACATTCTTCAAACAAGCTGGCTCGTTTTGCTCGTTTGGTCTGTCATATCATACAAGCAAGTTCTCCACTGCCGAACTGGACAAGCTATCACATATATTCTCTCCTCGTTATTTTTATTCACTGACCTGAGCCAAATGAGTCACCACTCAAGTTTATATCCACCAACGCTCATCACTCAAACAATTCATCCCTTGTTCTTGTCACTCGCCGAGAAGCCACCAAATCTAAGCGCCCAGAATGGTCCCATATCTTGTGTAGTTACTCTCTTTTTAACATTTCTTTCTAGCTTGCTCAGTGAAAACACTCTTAGGACCAAATAACAGGTAAATACTTCTTTAATTCTTACTGAAAGGTATTAATTGTGTGACTACATAGCTACTCAAAGCTTCTTCCATGTGCTCAGTTGTCGGGAACAGCTCAAAGAACACAGGGCAGGAAAAATGGGAAAGTACTCGTTGGGTAGAAAAAAAAATTCTTCTAAGCCAGTCAAAATGTTTTAAAATAGTAGGCAGGATAACCACAGAAGCAGGCAGCAGACCTAAATGTGTGTGGTTGTTATTTAATATTACTAAACTGGAGTGTTGATTAGATGGCAAAATGAAATGTTCCAGTGAAAACATCAAAATTACCGGCTGATGGCTCATTTTGACTGGGCTGCTCTCCTAGATCTCTTTCTTTTTCTTTCCTCCCTTTGCTACTCATTTTGTGCCCATGACTCCACTATCAGAATACCTGGTAGATACCTAAAGCATGTTGGACAATAGTGTGTGACATGATATTGCCTGAGGAGACTCAAAATGATGATGATAATGATGATGAAGCTATAAACTGATCAAGGAGGTGCTCAGTTGATTAGAGCCAAGTGGTCAGAGTGCTGGCAATCTGGAGGTCCAAAGTTTGATATCCATCCAGACTGATACTGGCCAATGGTTTGTGTCCTACCAGTTGGGATTCTTAAACTTGGTGTGTTTCATTTGAAATATTTGTGTCAGTTATGTGCTCCAAGTGGCTCCTATGCTGCTTCCTCTTTTCTGTCCACCTGTCTTGTGGTTGTGTCTGTAATCTGCCATTTGTTTATTAAATTCGCTGATGAAATAAATCAGTAATCATGAAGATTAGAAAAAAATGAATTCTAAAGTGTGAGCCTTGAGTCAGAATTCTGTTGCCTCTTTTTTGTGGGATTTTAGGGTGCACAACAACTGATCAGTAATTAAATTTTCAGACCCTGTGCCCTAATGGTCTGCCTTTCCTAAATCAGTAGCAATTCCTTTTCGTTCCAGTTCTAAATGCTGTACTGATGGTGATGACAATGCTGTTATCTGCAGCAGCGCATCAAAGCTTTTGCAGCTTTTTGACATCCAGGTTGGAAGTTCAATATCTGCTTTTTAATATTAGATTAATACCTTCAGACATGCCTTCATTTCAAAACTTTTTCAAATTTCTGGTACATGATGTATATACTGTCTTTAAGGGAGGAGTGTAATACAAGTAAATACCAACATTATTCATTGAACTCTCTCAAGCAAACATATAACTGAGTATGTAAAGCATTAGAGAGTGAATTTCTTTCAATTCTTTACAAGTGAATTCTACATGTGAGACTGGTATATTTTCTAGGTTTTATTCTTTTTTTTTATTGAACAAAGTTTGACTTCTCTACAAATATTGGAGTCATTTTACAAAAACTAAGGTCACTTCATACCACCGAAATTAAGTTTGTAACTCTTACCCCTTGGAGATACAATACTAACCAGAAATCAGAAGCCAACACCACATTTAAAAAAAGGTTCAATAGTGGAGAAACTTCATTTCATGTTAACTTGTTTTAGAAATTTTCTTGCAAGACTGCCAATATTTTTTATTTTTTTCAATTCCTTTACTAGATTTTTGACCTAATTATAAGAATTTTGGCAGGCAGGGAAAACATTTTTCTTGACCACTGAACATTTCCTAGCTCTAAGCTGGGGTCATAATGACCTCTTGCAGAAATTCCTTGGATTTATTTTTTGGCATAAAAATGCCAAAATTGTAAACCCTGCCTTTCTAAGGCAGAGAGTAATGAAGTTATCTTCATTTTTAAGTGTTCTCTTTAGTTCAGGAGGCTGTTTATAATATCAATTTTGTTATCATCTTGTTTTTAGCATCCAGCTGGGTTTGTTATCAATGATGCTTGCCAGGGTCAGTATAAGAAGTATGGAACAAACTGTAAGACTCTTGTCTGTATGGCTGGCTTCTGGAGTAAGGCTGCACAAGACTTGCAAGATCAGGTGAGGGACTGAAAATAAACAATGGCAGGGTAACTGTCTGTTTTAGTGTTTTAAATGTACAGTTAGGCATTTACTGTATATGTGTTGATGTGGAGGAGAAAATAAAGCAGTTCTAAGGAGTAAAGGAAGAAACAAAACAAAACATAACATAAAAACCCCAAAGAAACAAAAGGATAACAAATGAATGTATTTTTAACATAACAGGAAGAGGAGTTTTAAGAGCAAATGTGTTTTATACTAAAGACAAACATTGGTTACTGAAATAAGGTTTTAATAAAGGCTCTACTCTTACAGCCTCATTCTATTATTGTTTACCAAGAAAGCAACTGAGAAGGAAGGAATAAAAGGAGAGGAAAACGGGACTGGGAAGTTAAACCAATTCGTCATTTCCACTGTGTTTGTAGGGTGCAATCATCGAAGCCTTATTTTTCTGTTGATGTAGTGGTTATTGTGTTTTTGCATATTAATTTTATTGCAACTTTGTATGTAAATTGATTCTGTAATAATATCTATTTTTTGCTGCAGCAGGGTGCAAAGAAAGTCAGTTTTACAGCCTGTCATTTGGGCAAGCTGTAGCTAGCATGTACTAGCCCACAAGTCATTTCAACTAGCCCAGAAACCCTTGTTGATTAGCAGGATTGATTACAATCCTTCTGTAATTTGAATTTCCCCAAAAAACAGCACTTGCCCGTCGGGCAAGTTACAAACAAAAATCACTAGCCCAATAGCAAAATCCACTAGCCCTGGGCTATCGGACACGACTTTCTTTGTACGCTGTGCAGAGGGTGAGAGTTAATTAAAGTCACCACAGTGCCTGTCTTCTGCCCTCATAACAAGTCTCTTTCCTTATCATTATCTACCATACTGCCTTATTCTTTTAGGGTGTCCCCTGTCCAATAATCATCCAGCTTTTTGATGACGCCCTTGAAGCTTGTGAGGATGTTTGTCAAGAATTGTCACTTCCACTAATGGAAGCCTTACGAGATCCCCATAATGCCCAACAGACCGCTGACAATCTACATACTGTCAGTGTTCGTGAAAATGCCACAGGTTCTGCAATGGATGAGCGTGATTTAGGTGGTGAGTCAGGCAGGGTTTGTGTTGTTGGTGGGGGTGGTGGACACGCTGACAGAAGCTCTGATGGGGAGGATGATAATATTGCATGGTATTTTGATGGTCATATTCCAGGGCCTGATGGTCATATCCCAGGGATAGATGATCTTGCCCAGGGGTTAAGTGACCATATCCCTGGGGTTATAAATCATATCCCAGGGATAGATAATCTTGCCCAGGGGGTAAATGACCGCATCCCGCTGGTGATAAATCATCCTCCAGGTGCCAATGGGATTGTTGACATGGAAAATGTGGATGATTCACACTCACTCTCAAAGACACTACTTCATAGCAAGATACCGAAACCAAAACAGGCTAGCAAGAATGATGATCTTTTTCCTGACTTAAGAAGTGATGATTGTGTGGTCGGAAGCGAAAAGAACCAGGGAAGAATATTGTCTGAAGTAGAATACAGTAACTTAATGGATTGCTTGAGAGACAGAAGTATACATGTTACGAGTATGACGTCGACTTCGGGTAACTATGACAGCTTAGATAAAGTACAGAAAATTACGGATAAAGATGCATTCTTGGGTGATAGGGAAAACAGAGAAAGGTTGTCAAATTCAAGAAAAAACTTCCATGGAGAACCGCTTACAAAAACTGCACAGCATATGGGATGCATCAGTACTGCTTTATATCCAAAAAACGGAAGCAACGACGACGAGGAAGATGAATTTGAAGCGTCTTTTCTGGAAGCTGTTTCAAATTCAAGCAAAAGTGCTCTTCACTCATATTCTCAGGGTCTTCTTTTTAATGACACCTCAGGATCAGAACTGAAAAATCTTGGAAATGAAGTAACAAAACTATCAGTGGAAGAGAAGCGTAAAGATAGCTCCTCTACCGTCGGTGAGAGTAAATCAGTTGCAGCCGAGGCACGAGAAAAAGAAACAGGCGCAAACGTTCAATCCAAGCCAAAATTCTTAAGGAGTGTTAAGACGAAGCTTCTGGATTCACAACAGCTGCCTTCTCCAGGACACACGGACAAAGAAATTACTGACAGATTGCTTTTTTTGGTGACGCGGAAGCTAGAGAGCAAGGGAAAGGCAGCTAGAACACAGTTCAAATTGTCTGAAATTTATAAAGGAAGTCGACATTTTAAAAGCAATTCAGAGGAGTCAGTTCTAGCGGCGTCCTCTTCGAGAATGACTCGTTTAAACCAAACTACAGACATTTTGCCGCATGGAGATTTCTCAGCAAACAGTTCAACCGATAAACAAGGGCAGACAGGAGTACAAAATGTGGTGCAGCCAACGCCATTAAGACCTAATCTATCAGAAGAAAAATCAGAAAACGTTTTAAACGGAAAAACAACTGTACAGTCAACGACTAGGACCTTTCAAGCAGGAAAAGTAGATTCTCAATACTCAACTTTTGCGAAAAAATTTCTTGAAAAAAACACAAGTCAGTCAGAAACGACTTCAGATTCCAAAGAGAAGGAAAAATATTTGGGTAGTAACGAGGAGTTATTAACACGTCTTGGTGATCGCATGTCTCATGGGAAACAGCTAGAAATGAAACTAGCAGTGGAAATTATCACTTCTCTCATTAACTCTTCAGGTAAAGCTTCGCTCGAAGAATTCGAGATTCATTTGAATATGATTCACACAGAGCTGATCTTTGGTCCACTAGGTTCTTTTTCCCAAACAGTCGATGGTCTGTTACTGGAAAACACAACTAACTTTCAATTTCCAACTATTGTATCAGGCTCCCAACGTTTCATCGCGTTAGTTAATGGTGACGTCACAGCGGATTTTCGCCATACTGGCTTAAACAAAGAAGTACAGATTCACAGAATTATTGAGCACAAAGAATTTAAAGACGCTATTTCCACTCAGGAGGAATATTGGTATCAACGTAATACAAGCTCTCTCAGGGACCATAAAATTGGGGTCCTTGTCACTAAAGGAGTCGTTCAAGATTCTATCCTAGACTATTGTTTGTCCCATAACATTGTAGTTCTCCAAAACGTAGCATATCCAACTCTTCAACTTCTCTCCTTTGCTACCGGCTCCGTCATGGTGACGTATTTGGCTGATTTGAAGGAGAAGGATATCGGAAGGCCCGTTACCATAGATACCTGGGAGCTTGGCTGGACACCTTTAGTAGTGAGACAAAGCAAGGTGGAAAGTGGTAATTCTTGCGACGTCAGGAAACTACAGTTTGTGCTTATAAAAGAATTCAAAATAGAAAATGGAACCTTTGAAGGTAAGCTCGCGTTCGGTTATGACACTATGACTCTTAAGTTCAGAACTCAGTCAACAATTACGCCTTTGCCGCAGTCATTAGGGGAGGTATATTATTAAAAATTAGATTGCCGAGAGTCTTCTGATAATAAAGTCACATATGTAACACGCGTCCCGCAAAAAATGGCGAGTAAAAAGCTTGCCCAGTCGCTAAACCTCATAATTCCACGCGACTTATTCATTTCGGCCTACGTGGTTTGAGTGCACGTCACCGAAATGCATGACCGCGAAAGGCCTGGAAAGTCACCGCACTGGGACCAGGCAAACAGTAAGCGGTTGTCAGAAATAACACTGGGTTCAAATTAACAAACGTCTCTACATGTATCTTTGTCATAAGAAAGAGCACTGGTATTTGATATACTAAGATATACGAAAGACCACTCGTAAGGTCATGGTGAAACTGTGATAAATTCATTACTGTGAAAGAGTGAAATTAAGCGATATTAACTCTATTAATTCTCTCAAAAGATATTAACAGCCCGCTTCAAACTGTGCTACTCTGTGGTCCATGTAAAAATCATGTCTGTGACGCAGAACACCGCTTCTGGAATTCTATCCATCGCTTGAAGAACGCCCTCGCTTGTGGCCGAGTGCTGCCTGGGGCCGGAGCACCGGAAATTGCTTGTATTCGACGACTGAATAAATTAGCAGGTTCGTATAGCTACCAGTCTCCTGCGAAACACCGCAGAAACCAGCGACTCCTTTTGCTGCACAACCTGATTTAGGGGGGCGGTTTATGAGGCAACTGATTTGTTCTTGTTTTCACAGGTCAACAGAAGTCACGCAGTTCTCTACCAGGATGGTTGGACGGGAGCTTGGAAGTTTTTAGGCCGTTGGTGTACTCTGCATTTGCTGAGGGATTTAAAGACTATTTAGGAAGCGTCGTTCATAATTCAGGAACATTAACCATACCCTCCGGAGTTTCAGCCTATATTGAGGAATTAATTACCGCGGGATTCTCTTTAGACTTTCTATTAAATACTGAGGAGGAGAAATCGGTGAACACCCTTAATGATATCGAGGCACAAAACGCGTGCGAACACTCGAGAGCTAATGTCAAAGATCTCGCCGCCGCGTCCGGTTCCATGACTCGCGCTGAAGCTGGAGTGGGGACTATGCTTCACTCTGGAAAATTATCTCATAAGGTGGAAATGCCGCTTGTATGGGATGATTACTCTGCAAAGAAAGAAGCATGGAAAAGAGCTCTTGGTGTTGTAAGAATACTGTTACAATCGGACAAGTTGATCAAGACTGGGCTGGAAAGCAATTCTCTCGAAGCGGATATATTATGATGATTTGTGAATCAAGTGATTGTAGCCTGTTAACAAAGTCTGCATGTGTGACCGTATCTCACATTTTGCTCAACAGGCCAAATGTTTTGACTGTCGAAATTTACAGCTGCGATCACTTCACTAGTAACGCTTCAAGCATAAGCCCAATTCTAACATAAATGCTTGATATCTAACTGCTTCCGTGGTTAGGAAGTTTAACTTACCACGACGACGACGGCAGCAAAAATAAAAAATGTTTAGCCTCTTTCAGGCGTCTAGATAGTGTTAACGAAACAAAGAGAAGTGAGCAGGAGAAACAGCTTGGGCTGGGGTGGGGTAGGGGAGTGCGTTCCTCTCCTCACTCCCGTTACTCCCTCCTTTTTTCCCGCTCTTCCTGACTTCGTGGCACACTTCACTTTCTGCACGCCTGGAAGAGTCGAGAGAATATTCCGATGTGCTTTCTTTTAAAGCAAGATTTAAAATTGATCAGGTTGTTTGTTATGGGTCAATTTTTCAAGAGTTGAATCGTCGTCGAAGTAGTTGCTTGAGCTCTCTATTTTCGTTAGGCCAAAAGCCGCAGTAGCAAGCACGTTGTTACATGCTGATGAAGCTCAGTAAGGTTAAATAGCTGCCCATGGTCATGTTACGGCTGTGCTGCATTCGTTAGGGGCTGTAGGTTCCAACTGAGCGTGGAAAAGGACACCTGAGGGGAAATCGCGCTCAGAGGAAACCACCAACTATACAAGCTACGCCGGTCATACTGTAATGTACCGTGTTGTTTCTTTAAGATGGTTTACTTGATTAGACGGTTATTATAACAAAAATGTCTGTCAAACTGACTTCTGCTTTGTTGCGGTGTCTGCTTGCAAGGATTGGTTTGCTTTTTGGGGGGAAGGGAGGGGAAGTGATGGAGGGATAATTTCCGACCTCTCACCACCCACTATGTTTTTTAACAGGCTTGGTTTTAGTGAAGGCAGTTAATTTTTTTTCTTTGAATTAGCATCCGTTAGCGGAAATTAACGCTCTATGAAACATAAGGGACCGTATTGGGCTTAAAAGTGGACGTTACACCAGGGCCCGACGGTTCCTGAAAGGCCGATTAGCGCTAACCCAGGATAAGCATTTTGTTGCACTATTTGTATTTACCTTCCTATGTATTGCCTAGAGTAATATTTTGTGTTATCATTACTGTATTTTAAAATATGCAGTAAAGGTTCAACAGTATTTTGGAGGCTCGAGTTACATGCCCTTAGAGGCAGGAAAGCCTTGTTTAAAATTTGGCTTAATCGCGGGTTAAACTTAGCCATCTTTCTAGGAACCGGGCCCACGAGTAGCCGGTTTTCAGACCCTCTATTTTCTCCTTCGAGATCGTCGAGTGCGCGTATGGAAATAAAAACCGCGGAGGATTTATTGACCGCAAGAGCTCTCCGCGCACGCTCGCGCGCTGTCGAATTGTCGAAAAAAAGGAAAAACGTCTGTGGACAGGCTACACAGGGAGCCGAGTTCTTCGTCATTTTCTTAGCTATCCACCACTGCTGTGTCTATTTATGCGACTCAGTTCTCTGTGAAATTGTTAAAGAAATTTCCAGAATTATCCTTATGGTAATAATGCATTTACTGCTGACGGACAACAACGACTTAGTCAGCGCTTAACGCATGCGCACAGCCCGGACGGTGCAGCCATGAAGACATGGACAACTATTTCGCCTTCGTTTGGGTTCAAGGAAAGCCGAAATAAACCATCCTTATCATTATCATCATCATCATCATCATCATCATCATCATCATCATCATCATCATCATCATTATGTTTATTTTTATATGGAAATTTGATACGAGTAAAAATTTTAAATGAATAGGCCAATAACTGATATACACCCAGTTACTGTATTGTTTGGCTTATTCCTTTTGGTCTATTCATTTTAAGTTTTACTCGTATCAAGTTTCCAACTGTACCGCTTTTTAAACTACCGTAAAATTCAGAAAATAAGCCCCTCCATGTATAAGCCCCTCCAAATATAAGCCCCCCAAACCGGTAACGCAAAAAACCCTCCGTTAAATCGCCCCTCCAAATATAAGCCCCCCGGGGGCTTGTACTTGGAAAATTGCCCTCATATACAAAGTAAAACAAACACAGCATGAAAAATCAAATTTACGTGAGCGTAATGACAACGTAAAGTCAGCGTATAGTTGAACTTTACACAACTTTACGCTTCCTTTACTCTACGTAAAGTTCAGCTTTACAGCACCTTTACGCGTACATATAAAGCTGGCGTAATGAAACAAAAACTTTACGCAACACCTTTATGTTTTGCGTAAAGCTTGTGTAAACCCTACTTTAAGCTTGTGTAAAGCGAAAATACAAGCTCCTTTACGCCATATATATATACACTTAAACACACTGGAAACTTTAAAAATAAAGGGAAATATAATGGTAATCGGTAAATTTTTCTTACCAAACTTTTAACAATCAAAATTTTATTTTTGTCCATGTCACACAAACATTGGATTTTTGTTATGTACTTAATACCGGTTATTTTCTTTGGTTCCCCATCATCTCTCCATAGTATTTACAATCTGGAGCTATGGAGGATTACTCATATATACATTACAAATAATTGTATGAGTAATCCTCAATTCAAGTTTCGACACAAAATAAAATACCCTAATATGTAACAACACTTCAACACACAGTTAAAGGATTAGGCCAGAAATTTTGTTTTTATTCTTCAAAACTGACAACAAAAAGGAAAAGTTATAAAGCGTTGAGAACCCAATAGACCTATAGAAAAATAAGAACCCAACTTCAAACTGACATTAGTCATCCCTACTATTAAGTTATAACTTGCTTTAATGGAGTTATATTGTTTAACCAGTAGATGAACTTTGAATACGTAGTAGTTTAAAAAATAGGGCCCCTTTCCGTTTCCAATTTTGCATTACCATAACCAATTTCAAATTGCCTATCTTTATTTTTACATTTCAAATCCCATGAAAATCGCCAGGTATGCTACATTGTTGTAACTGCAAAAGCTGCAAATACGAATCGCATTCTTTAAGTTTAGTCCCGCAAAGAGTGATATTACAAGGTTTAAAAAAAAAAAACACACTGATTCTCTAAAACTGAATTTTCTAAATATAACATGATTTATTTCTGTGTTAGCATCTTTGTCATTACGTTAAAAATAAAAAAAAAACGAAAATTTTTCCAACACGTAAGGTTTAAATAAGAAGATACAGTGTACATAAACTTTTCAAATGGGTCAAAACAGTCTTCTCAAAATATCCAAAAAAATCATCTTAACTTAGTATTATACCAAATTAAGATGATTTATAGTTTGAAATAATTATTAGCATTTACATGTAAGGTACAGGGTGTACAAGAAAACTGATGAAGTTAAATTTTGATAAAAAACAGCAACTCTAACACGCAAATTAATGTAAAGGTGGGTCAAAATGGTCTCTTCCAAAATGAAAATATTTAGTATAATTTAGCATAATTCAAATTAAAAGCTTAAACAATTTTAGATAAGAAATAAAAAGACTGAAAGCCTAATACATGTATAACATTGATGGTTTCTTGATTTAGCCCTTTCACTCCCAGAAGTGTTTACAGTCAAACTTAACAACAAAATCCAAATAACAAATCATTTTCATAAACTGATGATGTAAAAGTTAGATGCACAAGGCTGTCACTAAGATTGCAAGTTGCAGGGTTTAAGTGAAATTAGTGAGCGGGACATTGAAAATGTGGAAAGTTTCGTTTCCTCTCAAAACAGCCAAGTATTGGGCTCAAAGTAGCCGATTTAAAGTCTGGTTTATGGCCCTTAGTGACAGCCCTGGAACCACTTTACAAGACTAAAGCTTGTAATTAACATGTATTAATCCTGTTTGCTTTGAGAGGACTTTCTGTCATCAACATCCCATACCAGGCTGATCTGCTGAATAAATAGAAAGCAAGTATTATTTGAGTAAACTACACAGATTATTTGTAGGCTAGTGATAATACACTTAATCGCGCACTAAAGGCACAAGTACATGTACAGTAAGGGGGTGTTTACATGAGAAAACTCACACCGGCACGAGTCTCATACCGGGATGACTTTTTGATTTTGTATCGGGTTTACATTATGACTGAGTCATTTCATATCTCGTTATTTGAAGGTGCACTTTATGTTGATAAAATACAAGTGTGATACAAAATAGCAAACATTACGCGTGCACTACCCATTCCAGTCTACCGGCAGACCGATTTCATGCCGAAACGGGTGGTCGTTTTGCATTTACATGATACTGCCATGAGATTTTGTACCAGAGTGAAATTCTCGCCCCGGTACAAGAACCGGGGTGAACTCACACTGGGGTGACTCGCGCCTGCATGACATTTTGTGGTGGTATCATGTAAACGAATATAGAGCGATGAGAGGGAACCGGAGTGAACTCGCTCCGGGGCAAAAGTTGCCCCGGTGTCATGTAAACACCCCCAAGTTGCCAGAGGACACCGCCTGCTATTACTAATTAATAATATTTTTTCCTACACTCATGGCCAAATTACTACAATCAGCACAATTTTACTTGACACAGGGTTCCCCACATGCCTCTTTTCACAAACCAAGACTAAAAATTTGAAAAAAATGATAAGGCATTTTCCACAAGTGGTCTAATAACACTGCAAAACCTGAGTAGCAAATGATTTCAATGTCCACAAATTCACACAACTGAATAAGATTCATCTGACTGTTAAAGATTCAAAATGTTTGACTAGTATGAGTTAAAGGCTTTCCTTAAAGGCAATAATATTTACATTCAGAACCCTACTTGCAGTTGAGTGAAAATCTGGGTAAAATGCTACATGGAAACCCTATAATAATAATAATAATAATAATAATAATAATAATAATAGTAATGAACTTTATTAAAGTCTCATGTCTTATAACACAGGCACAGTGCCTTACTAGTTGGGGAGACTGAAGCATATATATATGTTAAAATTATTAACAATGGTTTATTATATTATTAGAGTTCAATGTTTTACAATGTATATCTTTTTTTATTTTAATGTATGCATTTTTATAAAAGTATCATCCATTAATATCGTTGTAAAGTGCTATGAAAAACCACTGGATGTACATTATTATTATTATTATTAGAGAGTAAGCAGTGCGCAAAGAAAGTAGTGTCCGATAGCCAGGGCTAGTGGATTTTGCTATCGAGCTAGTGAATTTTGAACTTAACTTGCCCGATGGGCAAGTGAAGTTTTTTTGAGGAATTCAAATTAACGAAGAACTGTGAAATCGATTCTGCTCATGAAAATGGTTTGGGGGCTAGTTGAAATGACATTTGGGCTAGTATATGCTAGCTACAGCTTGCCCAAATGGCAAGCTTTAAAAATCACCTTCTTTGCACCCTGGTAAGAGAGAAATTTTCCTATCCACTTGTCCTTCACACAAGCAATACATTAAATTTGGTTGTCCGAAACCTAGAGTTCTTGTCCAAAAAGTTTTTAATTATTTAATCACATTATTAACCTTGTATATTATTTTTGAATTAAACCTACAACAGAGCTTGTAAAAAAGCAAATGGATGAAACGACTGGCAGTGGAATGGCAAAGTTAAATGGAATATTGTTTCTTATCTTTATTTTTCTAATTAAAAATGTGCTTGTCCCACGGACAAGTCATATCAAAGGTTTACATGTTCGAACTAAATTTCTACCTGTCCCGGACTAAAGTTCCAAATCAATAAACATCCCTAGCCTTCTCATGAGCTCCACCAAAGACTTTCAGGGAAAATATAGAAACATATAAGCACCTTATTCCCAAAAGTTTCAAATTTTCCTGAAACTTTACGTAATATATTTTTTTTCCTTTTTAATACGAAACGTTCAAGGTTCCTAGTTAATGTAACAGGAGTGAAGCCACTTTGCTATTTAAAGCCCTTATCCTCAATCTTGAAAACGATGCCTCCTAATAATAATGTACAGTGTACCCTGTAAATAAAGCAGCCTATTTTCTTTCCTTGCCACCAGGGACATTTCACAAGAGAGACAGTTGTATTTGCAGATTAATAATGGTGTATGTAGACAAGAGAATCCAAAACAGCTATGACTGCTATGACTCTCTTAACAGTCTTATCTTTCACAACTTGTTTCTTTAAATTTTATTTTCCTTTAAACCTAGATTTACTGACGATACAACTATGGTGCCAATAGCACAATTTCTGGTTTCTAACATGACTGTGTGCTTTGCTTCCCAAAAAGTAAGGCATTCAATTTCCTGACAGTATGTGCTGCACTATATCCTCTCAAGAACCACAATATAATTTCATAGGAGCAGTGCACAATGAAGATTAAAAATAATGGTAATATATGAAATGAATCATACTTTGAACTGCAGATGAAGGTATGAAACTGTGAAGATGTTAACAACTATGTTGGCACTTACATGAAAATACATTCTAATTCAATCATGGTCTGCATTAGCTATGCATTGAAAGACTCATGAAAATGTCTATTCATTCTCTGTTCATTTAAGTTAAAACCCACGTAATTTAAAATCAAAAATAAACTTTTGTATCTGCTTCAAAAAATACATGCATGCTGTTAAATTATTCATCACTTATGACGCTATGACTGCCTGGGGAATTGGGAAGCTTGGGTTTGTTATTGACTGACGCATGAAAATATAGAACCAGACTACGTAGATTATCTTTGCCTACTTGCAAATTCAACACTTGTTAACACTTTTCTATTCTGTTTATTAGTTCTTCTATAGTCTGTGAAAATGTTCATAAGAATGTTTGTATCACATTACATGTAAGCTTACTTTATACAGATGTCCTTTCTTAATTCCATTATTTTCTTTTAGTAATTCCCAGTACCAGTGACCAAACTCCTATTTTCCAGTACAAAACAAGGAAATTCTACTCCTTCAGACCCCCAAAGTCCTTACTTGATTTTACATTATCATCTTCAACGTCATGGTCTCGTTGCTTGCTTAGTATTGAAAGGTTATGCCAAATAAATACACATGTTTAGTTATAATTTACTTTAAACGGTTAATGCTGGTTTCATTGCTCACTGAAATGTTAGTTACTGAGTACTTGAGACAGTCATTCGAACTCGTCATAAACAAGTTGGAATTAAGCTTAAAAAGTTAGAGAAAAGGCGAGCCAGGACAACTTACCTTGCCTTACTATCTGCTCTTTTCAGCGAGATCTTGAGTATCGAAGAGCCTTAGTAATACGTGTAATACAGTCTTGGTCTGTGTTGTGAACATTCCAGTGTTAATGCTTGTGCTTCACACGATGTTTCTGTCTCCATTTCTGACTGAGTATCTCGTCCCGAAAGGGTTGCTGCACACTTGAGAAGTGATCGATTACTAAAGGCTGATAGTGCCATTATAAATTGTAACAACCTTAAGATGTCCTGTGATGCTATCAAGAAGCATAATCAGGGCTCGAAATTAACTTTTTCGTTCGGGAGCCAGCTGGCGACTAACGGAAAAATTTTGGTCGCCAGATCGTAAATTTTGGTCGCCAACTTATTTTATATATAACTTACACAAGAACACGATTTTATACGTTACTTTGCATGCAAGAAAAGTCACAACTGAAGAGCGAAAACAATTAGAAACAACACGAGTAACACTTAGTTATAAAGCTACCGTTGTTCTCAGGTGATATGTCTCTGGTCCGAAGGTGATGGTTGTCTCCAAAGTCATTTTAAATGAAGCGAAGCATAAAACGTTTTAAGTCCGTGGTTTTCATTCTGAGACAAACACGGGTCCTTGTGTATTTGCCCTTTGCTACTTCTACGAAATGCCGTTCTATATTTTCGACTTGCTTTCCTCAACGCCTTTCGCTGCCGACAAACAACGCCATGCTTGGCCCAGGCCTCTACACAACCACATTGCTCGTACCAGTCTCCGACCGGGAGGAAACAAAAATGGGCTTAGTGCAGTTTTTGGGTCTTCGTTTCCCCTTTAGACAGAACGTTTTAGGAAAATAAAACCTAAAATGTTGCGGGAGTTACGGAGGCACCGTATCTGCCACCATTTTTGTTGTTGAAGTGCGCCTGCGACCCCAGTTTCGGAAGAAGCCGCTGAAACAATATGGCGCGCCCTGAACGCAGTATCGACGTGTCGAAATACATTCCATTTTTTCGATTATCTTGTAATATTCAGACATTATTTTACTGGGGACGGAAAGGTGAGTTGTATACTAGCTACCATATCCGATTGATTTCCAAATATAAAGATTTAAAAACAAAAGTTGTGTCGTGGTTTTCTTTAGTCATCGGACAAAACGCGAGTCGCCAGCTGGCGACCAGTTCTGAAAATTTAGTCGCCAGTGCTCAATTTTTGGTCGCATTGGCGACCAGTGAGTCGCAATTTCGAGCCCTGATAATATGTGAACGATCTCCAACCTTTCAAAGAAGCAAGTTTGAAACCGTTGGACACTTTCAAAATGGACGCCAAATCAACGAACCTGATTGAGCATGTGCAAAGGAACAAGCCCGCTGACCAGGTGTCCCTTCACTCTATTGTTTCCAGGCCCCTTTCTTTTAACAAATTGTCCGTTCCCAAACCTGAAGTCCGCGGACTTAAAATAAGGAAGCGATAAAGGAGGTTCAACGATGAAGTCAGTACTCCGTTGAATGTAAAATGGTCACAGTAATTTGTGAATGCGTTCTTTCTTTAAGTAAGACTCGCCGTTTTTGCGAGGCGATATTTTTTCTTTATTTTCCAATTATTTCAATTTGATCAAATTACAGTTGAAACTCTCTACAACGGCCACCTTAGGGACATCGAAGAAAGTGGCCATAGTAGAGAGGTTGAAAGAAGAGTAAATGTATGTCATGTATGGACCGTCCGCCGAAAAAAAAACAACAAAACAAAAATGGCCCGTGTAGAGAGGTGACCGTTAAGGAAGAAACACCTTATACTGACTGAAATCAATGAGGGAATACTACTGGGTATTGAAGGCTATTGTGTTTGCCGCGACAGATATGCCGTTTTTCGAAAATTGCCGCACAGTCGCAAGCTATATCTTTGCATGAACTCTGCCAGCAGAATTTTCTTTTCAGCGTCATTTTTAAGCGTGTACGAAGTCGTTCGCACCACCAAAAAAAATTTGCGTGGTTGGCTTGTTTACATCGCACACCAACATCGAACACCAAATGAGTGATCAAAAAAACTATGCGAACTAGTATCAGGACACAAACGACTTACTAAAAACAGTGCCGGGAATAAATTGCTGTTAGGAATTAAGCTAGCATTATATGACAACCTTACTAAACCTTTACTTGTAGCGTAAATGAGCGTAAAGCTGTTACAACAACTTTATGCTAGCTTTACGAAACCTTTAAGAGCCGAGCGCGGAAATTTACCTTTACAAACCTTTACGCGCCGTGGAAAGTTTGCGTAAAGTTGGATGACCAACTTTACGCAGGTTTACGCAAACTTTAATTTTGCGTAAATCTCCATTTTCATGCTGTGAAAGCAAAAACGGTAAATTTACTCCCAAATAAAAGAGTAGCCCATTCGATTTTGAAACCTCCGTAGATAAGCCCCTCCGAATATAAGCCCCTCCAAAAATAAGCCCCTCATAAAGGGCCTTTGAAAAATATAAGCCCCGGGGCTTATTTTCGGAATTTTACGGTATGTTTATATATTTGTAACGACTTTCCGTTTCTTCAATAAATCCCTCTAAGAAGAAAGGCTTAGGCCCGTTTCAAACGTCGTGCTACTGCCTTGCCGAACTCAATTGATCGAATTATTAAAATTCGACTTTAGCACGGCAGTAACTCGACTTGGTTTCAAACGTCGTGCTACCGCCGTGCCGAACTCTATTCATAAATTATAAATACATTAGAATATATTTAGAAGTCTGCTAAACCGTTTCTTCATTTTTGTGTTTTGTTTTCGGCAAGAGGCGTTCTATTCGACTGAATTAAATTCGATGTCTGAAACCAAGTCGTGCTAGTGTCGTGCTGCAGTCGAGCTACAGTCGAGCCAGCGCAGTAGCACGGCAGGAATACTCAAGTCGCTTTGTTCTAAGCCTGGGCCCTGTGAGTTGTCACGAAACACCAGCTTCTCTTTGGCGATTCTTTCCTCCAGCTGTGGAAGATTCTGTACGCGTTCATTAATGCAAGAGTTTATTTTCGTTTTGAATTACAACATAGCTAGGAGTGATTTCTAAACAATTTAAAATTTAACCACGACCCCAGGGCATGGAGGGGTATCGGAAAAGTCCTGGGGACGAGGTTGTTTGGATTTTTTTATGTAAACGGTCCCGCTCTGTTTGGGCTCTATGTGTGGTGTTTGTGCATGTCTTGCAAAGGTAGGAGCAGATTTGATTCACTTTAATAAATTTTTGCACCTTTTTTGGATCGAGAATAGAGAACCCGTTATTCCATATATCCTCGAACGAACTTGCGAGTTTTTCCTGTAAGTTTTCATGTTTTTTGGGTATAATAATAAAAAAACATCTTTCTTTTTTATTTTATCATTTACTGGAAAGATAATAGGCTCCCCCATCTATGAGCAAAAACCGTACGTGCATGGAGAAATGGCTGGAAGAGACTCGACAGGAAGTAAATCAGTTCTTACGTGATGTACCTTTTTCACTCATCTCATAAATTTCCGCTTGTTCCTGTCTCTTTTAGAATTGAAATTTTTAAAGAAATCCATTGATCAGATTTTGACTCGGCACTCGGCAGCCCATCAGACTGCAATTAAGAGTTTCCTTGCGGGTTTGTTGGAAAAACTAGAACGACATCAGGAATTTGTAGGGGAACTTTGAGCAAGAGCGGAAACTCGCGCGGACCTTTCTATTTCATGAATTGTTGATGTTTTATTCAAATTTTGCTTCCGTGAATAATATTACTTCCTGTTCGAGTCATGACGTTGCAGATTTTGCAGGGGCCCTGTCCACCCCAAAACCAATCAATTGCCTTATTTGGCATTGAGTGGCAAGGCTCTGACGTAACCATGATGTAATAGGATGCAGCAGGGGCGGTCCACCCCGCATTTGGGGAGGGTGACGCGACAGTGACGCGGCTGCCGTTCGCGAAAAAGAAGAAGAAACACAACGACACGCTGGCTGCGTAAAGAAATCAGGGTGACGTAGAAGTGACGTAGCAAGTAAGTTTCATTTTCTCTTTCTTGTAGATTCCAAAGAGTCAACTACAGAGAGCATAATAATTCTTGCTACTCTTTCTAATTTCCCGGGTGAAATATTCGATCGACTGTTTGTGTGGTCGGATTTGCTCGAGCGATCGCGATGCGGACCTCATCGGTTTCTCTTCTTCTAGTTCTTTGTAGAGACCACGAAACAGAAAGCTTTCTCTCGTCTCGACTTTACTTGTCATATAACCCCAGAAGGGTGTCGAGACAAACATGGAGCAAATCGAAGAACAGACCAGTGTAGCCGAGATGGAAAACGGCAGCACTGTAACTGTTCAGCAAGGGCAGGCTCTTCCACAAAGCTCGGCGCAAACTTCGATGCCTCCGCCGATGCAAACGCCATCTGTGATTCAGACCAACCAACAATCCGTGATACAGACTGCTCAGTCAATTCACTCGGCGTCTATTCAAGGTCAGCAAATAGGTTTGGCGCAAGCAGTTCAAGGAGTCACCGATCCCGATGATTCTGGTGTGTTGGATGAAGAAAGCAAAAAGCGAAGGGACATCTTGTCGAGGAGGCCTTCATACAGGTACACTTGAGCTAATGAAGAAGAACTTAGATCAATACGTGATGTCCTTGTGAGCCTCCTATCCAAATGGGGTCTTTGTAGGAGTGTATGATGTGATATTTATATTTTTACGCGGTCCATTAGAAACAAAGAATGGCTATGATGTACTTTTTTCTTCCACTTGTGAGAGTTGAATCAAATTTACGTAGAAGCTGACGCACGATATTACGCGAAGCTTCCTCAATTCGGCACGGAATGTCGCCATCCGTAGTTCCGTTACGATAGAATACGTTACTGTTGATGATTGAAGGTAAAGTAAGGACTCTTGTCTATTCCAATTTCTGATCGACACAGAATTGGCCGTGAAAGAAATCATTGTGATCAAAGTGATCGAAGTTCCAGGTCAGTAGAGAGAAAATCGTTAGCCTCTCTAAAAGCTTACGGTATATAATTCTTGTCTGGAAAACTGAGTGCTGTTTGTATCTTTAGTGAACTCTTGACTTTTTGGGTATTAATGTAACGTAATAGATGACGTCCATGAATTTACAATAATTGTGTTTTTCTGTGTTAGCGTAGCAATTCACAGTGGTTATTCTCTGTTGGTTTTGGTTTCTCAAATTCATTGTATTTGATTTACGACTGTTTCGAGGACATAAATATACTTTGTGGAGCTGTCGTACTGTCGAAGATGTTGATAATGTATGAAAATAATCAACGTATTTGATTGGTAAAGTAGAAGGGCAGAAGAGGTTCCGGCATACAATAACGTCATGAGTGAATAGTATGATAAAGGCATTCAGGTTAATATCAGAATCTTGAGCGTGCTATTTTAGTCTATCAGTGTGTTTTTTATGTTAAACATAAGCATCGATAAGCATCGATGTCCATGCTGCAGACTCTTTGGAAGAATATGCATGGCTTTAGCGGTGGAAATAAAATGCAGGGAATAATAAATACAGATGTATGTTATGACGGTCTTCACCCTGCACCTACCCTGTGCAGATATGTTCTAGATTTATTTGCTATAAATAAGCAATAATTGCATGATGAAAATTATGTCATGGATAAAAATATTGATTTTGAATAAAAATATTGATAAATTGATTTTTCTGAACATTTATCTTGCAGTGTGATTGGTTGAAAGGTTTTTTTGGGACTACTGACTGTTTATAAAGTTGTATCTGAACTTAATCATGTGATTCAGAAGAAAAGTTCTGTTTATGCTAAAACACAAACCAGTACCAAACTGATAAAGTCTTATATCAACCTAGTTACACAGATGTAAAGTTCTGTTTTTACTGTGATAATACAAGTTAAGTGCTGTCCAATAATATGACTTTTGACTAGTGTAAGAGTCTGCTAGGCTAGTGTAGTTTAATCATCATCTGCTACTCTGTAGCCAAAAAGAAGAAATAACAAAATCTAAGCAAAGTTTTAATCCAACTTCTAGCATTAAACTAGTCAACTTCTTGGCAATTTTTAAAATTTTATCTTGCATAACTAATTTGTACAATATTAAACTGTATGCTAGGACGCAATAGAGCTCTAAAAGCGCCAGTTGTTGATTTTTTAGTAAAACCTGTCATTTTATTTTAGGAAAATATTCAACGACTTGTCTGGTTCAGAAAGCCCAACCAAAGTAGAAACCATTTCTGAAGATATCCAAGGTCAGAGTGAAGGCACAGAAGGAGCTTCACCTATAGCTGTGATAACCACTAGTCCACTCAGCTACCAACAAGCACCTCAAACCGTCGCCATTCCAGGAACCATACAAATTGTCACTTCGGGTGAGGCACTTCAAGCAGTGCCCATGGCTCAGAATTCTTCTGGTGCTGTTGTTCAATATCAGCAACAGCAACAGGTAAAGATATTATTTTTTTGCATCAAATTTAAAATGAATTTAAAAGTATCAAAGTACTCACTACCTGTCTTCTCTCTGGCTAAGAACCTACAGTAATTTTTAGAAATCAGTACAACCCACAATGCCTACAATTCATGATTTCCCAGTGCAATGTCATACTGTGTTCAGTGAGATGGTGTGTTTGTGATGTTTTTTGTTGAAACAAGATTTGTTTTTATCTTTGATATCTGGAATAATCAAGGCCTCTTGTACTTGTAGTACTGGTCCTAACATAATCATTATTTTCTTACCTCTTTAGGACGGTCAACAATATATTTATACAACTAACCCCGGAGAGGTTCAAGTACAGGTAAAGTGAAGTTCTTTACTGAACACATTATCCTCCTTACTTATACAAGTTTCCTTTTTCTTTAACAATTCTCCTTGCAAATGTAGGGCAATGTCATTATAAGGGTCATCTTTTTAAATTTTGCCTTGATCCTGGAAGATAAAATCAGTTGTTTACCACTTTATTACCATGACAAGCAAAATGGAAGCAGCTTGAATTGCTGAGTTGTTAAATTTGTCTGCTGCTGGCTGCAATAGGGACCGTGGAGCATATTTTGGATTGCTTGAGCTCAACGAGCGGCAAAGCAGCGTGCAAAGAAAATAGTGTCTGATAGCCTGGGGCTAGTGGATTTTGCTATTGGGCTAGTTCATTCTGTTTTTAACTTGCCCAATGAGCAGAAGAACTGTGAAATCAATTCTGCTTGTCAAAAAGCTTTTGGGGCTAGTTGAAATGATGTCTGGGCTAGTAAATGCTGGCTTCAGCTTGCCCAAATGGCAAGCTGTAAAAATGATTTTCTTTGCACCCTGTAAAGTCACAATTATGTAGGGGTCTGGGGAAATTTTTTCAACTGTAGAACGTCTGAAGTCAGGGGAAATTCATTTATTTCTATCAATCCTGAGAAAATTTTTTCAAATCTGTATCACCATTCTGTTAGTTTTTTTACACAAAAATGTGCATTTAAAACATGATTATTTTAGAAACTTGTGTGTGCTTTTAACTCAAAGATTAGAAGTACTTTTCTAATAATTGGAAAAAAATCCTAGCGAACTTACTGGTAGGGCTATAACCCCCCAGCCCCATAACTCCCTTGTCCCTGTGAAAGTGCTACTAAATGCACCTTGAAATAAGCTGTTTTTCATACATGAATAGCGAGTCATGTCTTGGTTTTTTTTCCACTTAAAAAATGTGTCAGTATGTAATGAAAATTGAGCATAATCTTTTTTCTCAGCAGGTTCAAGTAAGCAACACTGGTACGATGTATACAATACCAGCAGCACAACAACAGTACATTCGTGGACAAGTTCCTGGTATGGTTCTCAGTTCACCAGGCATGGCTGGAAATGGTCAACAAATAGCTGAGGATGCATCTCGAAAACGAGAAATGAGGTTACTAAAAAATAGGTATGATTCCCGTGAAGATTGTAATATAATTTTATATTAACTTGTCTCACTGGCCACCTAAGTACAGTAAATCCTCTATTAAGCCCTTGCGGGGGGAGGGGGCTTATTTTTTGGAAACACATTTGAGGGTGGTTGGTGGGGGGGGGCTTTATCAGGGTTGTCAGAAAGTTTTGAAGTAGACAGCTGAGTTGTCAAAGTAAGCCCCTAGCTGCCAGTCCAGTTATATTTTATTTAAAAAATGCCAACCGCAAAGAAATGCCAAGCAAAGTAGCTGACTAATACTAACCAAGTAGGCGGCGATTTTCACTGGCAGCTGGCCACTTTTGACAACCCTGTTTATATCGGAGGAGGGGTTGTTTGGTAGGGGGTGGCTTATTCACTTTAGCAAAGGCAATGGCATCAGTTACCATAAAGACCTAGGTAGATGGCAAAGTGGAAAAGCTCAGGTGCAAAAAGTTGGAGGTCATGCAGCCAAGGATCAAACACAAATCCAAACTTCCAGCTAGGGAATAACCCACCCTGAGTCAGTCCACACAAAGTTTTATATTTGTGATTGATTAATACAGTCTATCATTTATTAGTGAATAATAATAATGTGGATGGGGGATGGGGGGGGTATACCCTAACTTTCTTTGATTTAAAAGAATCCAGTTTATTTCCTCTCAGTATTTTAACTAGTGTTAAGTTACAGCCTTTTTAGCTAGCTGTTTACAGTTTAAAACGTTTCTATTGAATTAATATCAAAGTTCGAGTATGATGGCCGAGTGAACCATTAGAACAAAATCAAGGAAAAATGCACAAAATTTACGTTTTTGCATCAACATTTTACTTCCATTGTCTTAATCGGGAAGAAGTACTCAGGGATGAGGAAATAGATTACCCTCAGGGTTGTAAGATACTCACTTGTGGCCTTTCTTTTTGACTTTCAGAGAGGCAGCCAAGGAATGCAGGAGAAAGAAAAAAGAATATGTGAAGTGTTTAGAAAACAGAGTTGCAGTCCTCGAGAACCAAAATAAAACTCTGATTGAAGAACTTAAGACACTTAAAGACCTGTATTGCCACAAGTCTGAGTAGAAACTAACTTATCTTACCTTTGCTGATGACAATATCTGAGCAGTTTTCCAGTGGCTATCATATCAAAAGTACTTTCTTTTATTTCACTTCTTAACATTACTTTTTGATCCAATGATTTAGACATCATAGATCTGATTCATAAGGCAGGACTACATTTTTTTATTGTTTTATGTCTATTTATAGCCTCACTGGCCAAATTTTAGAGTAAAAATTCCTTTGGTAACAAGGCTAGTGTCGCTATTAGAATGAACGTAAACAAAAATATTATAATTTAGCAACCATTAATTTAATGACAAGGGTCAAGTAACTGAAACCAAGTCTGAAAGCTAATCTCTTATTTGAAAAAGTCTGGAAAAACCTTTGTAATTTAAGCTGTGACCTGATGTACATTTATTCATCCATTTTTGTGTTGCATTATTAGTTTTTGGTCACCATAGATTTTCTCACAGCCAGTGGAAAATTGCTTTTAGTAAATCAACCTTCATAACTAAATCCAAAAGCGCCAAGACTCGAGACATTGTAAATAGGCTATCAGGCCCGCAAGTTTTATCCATTTGTAATAATGCTAAACATTCATGATTTTCTACCAAAGTCTTTTATAACCATGTTGGTTTCACCTGAAACACCACTGAAGTTTGTTGTGTTTTATTGAGATTAATTATTGTTAACATAGGTGCAGAAGAATGCATGTCATGTCTTCCAGTGGTGAAAAATTACTAAATTATAGATTTAAAATAATCCAGAAGTACATGTACTACTCTAAGTAGGTTGTAAAAAATAGTTGTATGGTAAAGTAAAACCATTTTTAAAGGTAATGAACTTTGCCTCCTTGTTTTACTTCGTTGCCACTTGCCGAACGTTTTTAACTTTGCTGGGCTCCATACTGTTTAAGGGAATCAATCAAATTTCATGTTGTATTGTAGGCAGAGTTGTGCAGTTTAAAAGGAGTAGAGATGAAACGTTTCAAGTCACTTAACTGAAAACTTCTGATTTTGATTGGTTCTGCTTTATGTAAAAACCGTTCAGAACATTTGAAGAAAACGGGTCTAAAGTTTAAAAAAATCGTTATATAGAACTGCTGGGCAAGGAATTAAATGAAAAAAGATCATCGCAGTTGTAGACGCAACTTTGGCAGTTGCGAAAAGAAAGTCTGAAAAAAAATTCAGGCTTGTCACGGGAGTCGAACCCGAAAGGATTGTAAGGATGGCGATGAAAAAAGAATACGATTATTTTTTATTGTAACTGTGGGGTGAAAAATTATTCGAACCTTGACCATTCAACCTAATGACCTGCTCCCAGTTGGCTTATTAACATCACGCTGCTAATTTGGGACCCATCAGGCATCACGGAAAACCCTTTTGCCACCCTGTTAAGGACGATGCTCACTATTGGGAAGTATTTTTTTCCCAGATGATGCCCATGTGAGGCTGAGACGGGTAGATCATACCTAAGGCTATTGAAATTGAAAAAGAAAACTGGGGGTAATCATGCATTTTAAAGAGAGAACAGCACTTCGGTATGGAGAAAAACGCTGAATAGTACTTTTTAGAAAAATTTTAAAAAGTTATTTTTTCCCCCCAAATTTCACAGTGTACACGTTAACTGGCACAAATGCTACGGACATTTTCGTTTGTCTCGACCTAAAGCTGCTAGATATTCTCTAAAATTAACCCGCTTTATACGGATCAGGCGGCGAGAGCTCCTGACACCGGTAAATACGGGTAACGGACATTTTTCTGTGTCCCGATTCACAAACCCTCAGATATCGTCAAGTCTATTTCCCATGTCACAATTATGTGCTTATTGCAGGGATTGAAACCCCGCTAAAAAAACAGATTCATATGGGGTTTAAGCGCATGAAAAAACAAAACAACAAACAAACAAACTCGGAGTGACATGTTTGATTTTGATAAATCCGTCTTTTCCCTGTGGTTAACCCTTGTACTGTAAATTAGTGAACAGTTCTTGAAAGGACCACTTGGACTTGTACCGTATTAACCGCTTAATAAAGTTAATATCTTATTGGGCGGTGGTTTAGTGTTTAGTGTAAAGTATTGAGGGTTATTTTTACGAGTCAAAATACAGTATATGTGCCTATTCTCGGAGACTTCTTGTATTTATCACAATAACTGACCTCAGAAGGGCGGGAGCACTAAGCTTTCCTAGCATATAATTCCTTCCTTACGTTAACATGTCCTAAAGACTCGCTGGTTGAATGCCTAAGGTTTCTCCGTAATTTTGCAAACTATCTTAGAAGTTGAGTGGCCTGTTCTTGGACAGGCCGGTATTCTCTATTCTCGAACGATCGTTTGTTAATGTTTATTCCTTTGCATGATGTTAATGTATGTCTCTTTGAAGAAAAACGAAGTAATATTTAAAGCAAGAGAGGATAAAGGGGACAGAGAAGGCATCCCCCATACACACCCTATTCCACAGGTAATTCGTCTCGAGTTATTTTTAAGGCCATAGATCCCTACGGTACCGAAGTGATGACGTCATAAAAATGAAATTTGTGAAATTATGGGATTTGTGAAGATATTCTGAAAGAACAACGTCCAAGACGCCTACTCGCCAAAAATTAGCAATTCGGGCCAAATTGTCTCTGAGATATTAGCCCAGTTATGCTGTGACGATTCCATACAAATCCTTCTAAATTTGGCTTGGTCAGGAGCCCATCAAATTTGATAGGCTCCTGGCTTGGTTCATAAGATTAGGAACCAGGTAAGATTTAGAAGGATTTGTATGGAGTCATCGGAGCATATCTGGGCTAATATCTCAGAGACAATTTGCCCCAAATTGCTAATTTTTGGCGAGTAGGCGTCTTGGACGTTGTTCTTTCAGAATAGCTTAACAAATCCCATAATTTCACAAATTTCATTTTCTATGACGTCACACTTCGGTACTCTATGGGGATTAGACAACAGCAAATCACATAGCGCGAATGTGTTCCGCGTGGATGACCCACCCTCAGAGCAGGAGGGTGGGTTAGGTAGGAGCAGATGGGAAAAATAATTTTCTTCGCTCTTCATTTAATAAAAAAACTGTTGTTGACTTAAAGACGCGTTGGGCTATAGCACTGTCCGAGAAGAGGCATACCTCACAAAAATACAAGGCTTTTCCCATGTTCTTGCTCGAAAATGTTAAACAGTTAACTCATAATTCTTACTTGGAAGCAAACCTTGTTCCCTTTTGCCCCACTTTCCCCAAAAGGTAGTTACCTCTGTTGAGTATTTGGCAAAAACAGGGTGCAAACTGAAAAGATGTAGTTAACTGGGCTGCCTGTGGCGCAGCCCAGTTTTTAATATGGGTTTCATTTTTCAGTGTCGGGGGCTATTTCTAATCTTTACACTGTTTCAGAGCAATATCTATAAGGTTCATTGCCCCCGTAGGGATTTCGTCCAGAAGGCGAAATCCCGAAGAGGCACTCTAGTAAAACGCGCGTATATTAAGGAAGGTACTTACAGTTGAAATATACAGTCAGTATGCCAGAAAAAATCTCGATTTGCTTGAACAGGGGCCGCGAGGAATCGGTAGGTAATGATGACGTTTCTATTGTTTGCGCCCGCAAGTACGAAATGGTTAGGATGACGTAAAGACAGAAAATCCAGGAGGGACCGCTTAGGTAGATCTTGTGACATTTATTGTGCAGTTCATGATACTTCGACACTCTTTTGCGTTACGTGTTATCAGTGACATTCTGTGGAAAAGTTGTTTTGAAAGTTACAGACCAAAAGACACTCGTTAAGCGCAGAAAAAGTTATAAGGTGCGTATAACTGTGTTTATATAAACACTTGGAGCGTTTGCCAGACACGAGGTCTCGAATCTTTGATTGGAATCCTTGTCAGACACTCTTTCTCTCTCTCTGACCAGCATAAGACTCAGCCCCAGACAAGCAAGACGAGTAAACAACGGCTAGCTTATCACTAGCAGAACGATGGACGATTACAGAAATTCGCCGACAATCAAATTCTGTTCTAACTTATTCCCTGCTCAGATGTCCTTGCGCTATAAACTTTTTAAAGTGTGAATTGATCAAACGTCCTTTTAATTTCTAAGGCTTACTTTCCGGCAAATAAAATGAACTGAATATAAAAAGTGAGAGAGAAATAGCGAAAAATTCAACTTCTAATTAAATCTTTTCTTATGGTTTAAAATAAACTATTCTGGAAACTGAGAATGCTTTGATCAAAGCTGTGTAAATCGAACTGAAACTGTGCATGGAACCTTGCGTTTCCTGTATTTATCTCACCTATTGTATGGAATATGTGTGAAAATCTTCATTATGAATCGGTATATTTCAAAGAGCTACAAAACGAGCAAGAATACTATTGACCGACAATATACAGAGCTGGGGTAGCTGTAGTGTCAACTCTTACTAGTGTAAGAGAGTACCCCCCCCCCCTCCGGGGATTTATGTCGTGAAAACGGACAACTTTCGACTCTTCGATAGTTTTCAAATGAATTACTTACCGATGTTAACAAAAGGCAGCCATTAATGAAGATGTGTTTGAAGCTAGCGAGTACTGTACTTTTTCATCGTCTCCTTCAAAAGATACCGTGTGTGCTTAAAAATCAGAAATTCAGATGAGCCAATCGTTTAAATTGACTTAAAGATTTAGCCGGCTCTCGCATATCGCAGGGCAGGCTGTTCCAGAGAACTGCTCTGCTAGAACTAAAGCTGTTCTTCACGAAGTTAGTTCGCCGGAACGGGAGAGTTATTTTGTTAACAGAGTAGCAGGGAGTAGCGCGTTTCATTTCGTATATTAAAGTTAGAGGATAAATATTCAGGAACAAAACCATTAAAAGACTTGTAAACCATTAAATCAGGCTTGTTGTATTTGAAAGTGAGTGCTCAAGTCTTTCCAGTAAAGCTTTGTCTAATTAAGCGGTTGTTGTCAGTATCTTATTGTGGGGATTTTACGAGCAACTCATAATGGTGTTCTTTACTTCAGAGCAGCTCAAATGCTCTCTACTATCGCATTACTTAACGCTACAGAATGACTTAAACGAATTTCCTGTTGATAACCAAAGTAGAATATACAAACCTATGAGTTAATAGAGACCTTAAGATTGAGGTTTTTCGGCATTTCCCGCGAACCGCGAACGTCAAGAAGTCACGTGACCAGAGCCTTGCCGTCAGGTTTGCGGTATGAGATTCACGTTTTTACGTCAAGACCACGCTCTAGAGGTAATGAACCTATCAATGTTAAGCCCGAGGGGGGGGACCCCGGGCATATGTGGGGCATTTGACTTTTCAGAAGATTTTTTGGTCAAAGTCCCCACCGTGGGGCCCCAAAACTGGGTCAAATAAGATCAAATATCCCCACCTTAGGGAAGTAATATCCCTAAAGTTCATAGTAGTTGTTGTGTATATTTTACAAATAATTGATATAAATTGCCAAGCTTTTTTTTTATATTTTAAACTCCTTTGATGCTTTGTGTAATCCGAGGAAAATAATCAACAAATCTAGCATTTCACGTGAAAAAATCAAATATAATTGTCCACAGAGTAAGGTGTTCCATCAATTTATATTGACAACCAGTAGTGAGAAGCAGTGTTTTTGTTTACAGAAACGAGTGCTTACCTCAAAAACAGCCGTGCTTTCCAGCCAGCGCTCCAGTGAATTCCAAGATGGCCGGCACAGACGTGACTAGCTACCAGTCCTCCTCGCAAAAAAAAAGCAAACGTCCCCACCCTGGGGCCCTGATTCTAAGTCAAACTCCCGAGGGTGGGGAAGGCAAAAGAGGTCAAATGCCCCACATATGCCCGGGGTCCCCCCCTCGGGCTTAACATTGATAGGTGCATAAG